CAGGACACTAGCGGGCCCTCTTCCACGTGGCGGCGGCCTTGGGAGGTCGACGGTGCCTGACCGCGCAGCAGTCTCCAAAAGGTCCCTTGCTTCGGTGATGGCCTCCATAGGGTCGGCGGGATCCACGGGAATCACGACGAAAACATTCGGTGAGTCCGCGTCTCCTGCGTCTGGCATGACCGGAATTCCATGTTCCGAGAGAGGCAAGCGGCGGATAGACAGACCTTGGACAAGCGCCGCCCCAATAATATCGTTGTTCTCAACAGCGCCTTCATCAGCATCATCACCACCACGGAACGAAGCACGACGACTATCAGGAGATCCCAGCAACGCTGAGGCATCGACGCCATAACCCTGGTCTTCAAGAAGTTCCACTTGAGCAAGTGCGCCGTCTGTGTATCGTAAAAACACTTGTACTGACGTGGCATCGTGGCTGTGCCACCCGTACGTCGGATGACCATGAATATGTGTGCTTGTAGTTGGCTGAGCCTGGGACTTAGCAGGAGCCGGTAGATGTGCCCCAATATCCAGCACGTCATCTTCGGGTGATGTAACACCGTTGCCCACATCATCACTTGGTTGCTGTACCTGCTGTAGCAGCGCACGCGCAGGAAGAGGTCTCACTTCATCTCCACTGCTGACATCTGGTCGCTGTGTCAGATAAGTCGCGGTGGGTGGGGGTGCTGAAGAAGGCGCGGAAGAAATGGCTGGATTTTGTTTTTGACCTCTACTTGCCGTTGCCCAACGACGAGGATATGAGGCAATTGAAACATCCCGCTCTACCTCTCCAGTGACATCAGCACCGCCGTCGTCAGCATTAGCACTATTCGCATGATCACGAGCACCGGTGCCAGGATCTTCGCTAGGAATCACAGCTGACAGCGGTTCCGGTCTCTCTGATCGTTCTTGGGACTCAACGACCGCAACGCCAGACTTCCTAGGTCCCTTCTTTTGTTTGCGTTTGCTAGGGTTGCAATAGCTGTTTGCTTGCACTTTAGCATGAGGAGGCAAATAAGCATCGGCGGAGGAGGACGTGTGGTAGTTGTGCTGTGAGTTGCAGCACGCAGTAAGATTCACAGCAACGCTCGAAGCAGATGCACTACTGAATTTGTATGGTGCAGGAAGAAGATGAGTGGCCGCATAAGTGAGAGGCATTTTCGTCGCGGCAGCAGCCCTAGGAGTAAAATGAGCATCCGAAGTATTTGCACTTTTGCGATCGTCATCGCGTCTTGGCAGTGGTTCATCTGCTTCTGGAACCTCCGTGTTGCTTGAAGAAGATACTTCTTGCCCAAGTGGCTTTACTAGTGCGGCCTCATAGGCCGACTCAAGTGGTTTTGGTACACTCTGCTGTACTTTTTCGGAAGTGTCCACAACAGATTTCGATGCTGAAGCAGGTGGTAGAGGTCGTGTAAAAGGTGACTCAGTCGGAACCAAGGAAGGAGCCTCCTGACGCCGCTGCTCCGCTGGAGCTACCTTAGCTACGCCAGAGGAAGTAGGAGCCTCTTGACGGTCTTGCTCCGGTTGATGGAGGTGTTGCCTCTGCCTGAGGACTGCATTAGCCTCGTCTTGCTTGTGGTGATCTTCAGCATGCTGCTGCCGGTGTTTTTGCTTCTTGTTTCCCTGTCCGGAAGATAAGTCGTCCTCGTCGTCAATTCCTGGAAAACGTATCGTCGATCGTGCATGCTGGAGCAACATCCTACGGAACCTCGGGACCTCACGAATGTCACGACGCGTGCGATAGCCGTTTTTGTCGATCTCAGTGTTCAAGTAGTCCTCCACTACATTGCGCGCGCTCAAAAAGAGGTCGATTCCGCGAGAATACCATACCCACGGACGCAAGTAGATGCCGGCGCCAGCCGTCCGAGTCTCAAATTTGTCTTGCTCGTCGGGAGGCAGACGCGCTAGACCCAGCAACTGCCACTCAACGGGAATGTACAAGTCTAAGATCGTATGAAAGGAAAAATAAGTGCACTCACACTGAACAAATTCTTGACTAAGATTCAAGTGGGAAAGAAGCCACTTTCTTGAGTGTGAGTGCACTTTTTCCTTCCATAGATCGGCTGTCGCAAGACACGAACGAGCTCAGGAGGCGCAGCCGCAGCGTTCCGAACTTCGGCCGGAAGCGGTTGGACTGGTGACGAATAGGAAGCACTTCTTGCAAAACTTACTTCGTCTCTACCATACTCGGACCACTCTGAACAGGTAGCGCTAGCGGTAGACATCCCACCAACGCTCGGGGTTCTGCTTGTTGCGCCATATGAAGCTACTGGAGCCGACTGCTCTCGTGTGACTTTAATAAACCTTTATTAAGGGTTGGAACAAGTTGACCTCGCCTCGTACTGTCGCTCATTATCACCCGTAGGTGAGAAGGGTAAAAGCTGACTCGATCAAGAAATACTAGTGGAAAAAGTTTTGCTACGCATATTAACTTATAATATTAAGTAAGTACTAGACATAAATGTAGTAGACACAACAGATACTAGCACTAATAAAGTAGTACAGATATTCGTAGTTCAACTTTAAGATAGGTATTTTGTGTTTGAGTTTTTTTGTCATTAAATAATGTCAGTCTGACGAATTCCAATTTATCTTATTGAGGACACGAGTGCTCCATAAGAGTGAAGCAGTATTGGAACACGTTGACGCCAGACTCCCACTGTCGCCATGAGCTCCACAGGAACTTGCGACCGAACTGTGTGACGCACTCCGTTCCCGTGCTCCTCGCTGTGCTGGTGGAGTTGAGTACGATGTTGCCCCTGATAATTTTGCTCCAGGAGGCACCCTACTATTGACTGCGCCACCTGGGACATTCATCTGCGCGAGTGCAGCGGCGGTTCTCTTTGCGGCATCGTAATCATATTTCTTCACGATATCGAGTAAGTCTGGAAAGTACTTACGGCCTAGTATCTTGCGTAGCCCATCCGCCACTAGCTTGTACATGAAGATTCTTCGGTTATCCAAAGACCAAGCGTCATAAATGTGCGATTCCTTCTTGTTCGAGACACTTGTACCTTGCTCTCCTCGACCTCGTCCTCCGACTATCATCTGGTCAAGTGCTTGATCAAATAATGATTCAAAATCTTCTACTTCGTCATCCTCGGAATGGGAAGGATGCAATCGAAATATATCTTGTCGAACAGGAGAATGACCTTTACTAGTACCATTGGTCATTTCGGGGTCAATATTAACGTGTTCCACAACTGGAATTTCGGAATCGATTATACCAGAACGGTATAGAAACTGCATTCGAAGGTGCCGTGTTCCGGTGTCACTGTCCAGAACCTGTAACGGTTCTCTTTGTGAAAAATGGCCCTTCATCATGGGCAATTGAGGTCCGAGCATGCCTCCAGTAGCCTGAAGAGCGGCCATATGAGTACTTAAGGGAGCAGGAGCCAACCCCGAGGAAGGACTTGCTGAAGCTGATGATCCCGCAGCTGCACCGGGTGTGGCGGATGTGGCCCCGTGTCGATCTTCATGGAAGAACGATGCTGTGCGCTGATTGTCTAAAGAGACGATTTTTGCAAGCGGTACCATACTCTCAGGGCTGCCACTTGCGCTCCAGCGCCAGCGGACGACCTCCTCGTCACCCCAAGATCTAGACCAAGAAAGCATTCGTCGAATCTGTCCGCGGCGACCGATCCTATCCCGCAAGATGTATTGCAACAGTCGGAAATTACGCTCTTGTTGCTTTAAGGAGATCGTTCCTCTTGGTGGGGTGACTACAGGTGCTGCCCCCGGTGAAGATGATCCTGGTGCAGTTCCTGCTCGTCCACCTTCTTGCATCTTTATTCCTCCAGCAACATTTTGAATGATTTGCTTCTGTAATCGTGCAAACTCGTTTTCTACCCGATGCAATAAGGAATCCAATAGCTTCTCAGCCTCTTGCCGCACATGCCGCTTGCATTTGAAAAGCTGACTCACTTTTTCCTGGGAAAAGCGGACGTCGCCAGCTCGAATCAGACAAACTTTAGACTGTTGCTGGGGTGTGCGCGAGAGTAAACGCTGCACGTTTACGTGTGGTGCTGCCAGAAAGGCCAACTCGCTGCACAACGGAACATTCTTGACATATTCGTAGACACCTTCGTGGTACGTCTCTGTTGCGGCAAAGAACGAGTCTTGTTCATCATCATCCTGCTTGTGCTTGCCCCGTCTCTCATCTTGATGACGCACCACAACTGCCTCTGCAAAAAATTGTACAGGGGGTATACCTACCCAATCAGGAGGAAGATAGCCTCCAGCTCCAACAGGGAATGAGATAGAAGAGCTCGGAGTCGGTAGTTGATGGCCAGTATACTTGTCGCTCAACAACAAGACCAGTAGAAACAGAAACAGTGTAGTTGACCAAAAGAATGGTGAAGAATCGGCTGATGGATGCGAGTCTGTGCGCTTGCATCGGCGTCGATGACTTCGCACCCCTGTTCGCTTTCCACATGACGCACGACCTCGCATGTTTCCTCGTTCAAAAAAGGGAAGACTGATATCGAAGAAGATTATTTCTGGACATTGGCAAATCAATACCAAACAAATCTACTGTTAAGTTTAGGTTATAACGCATGAAAAAAATAAAACTATGGACATAAAAAATAGTATTTTGTTATTCAAGGACTACATGAAGAAAGCGAGTAAAAATTGATGGTCACTTTTTTCAACATTCAAACGAAATCAACCGTTTAACTTTTACTTTAGACCGCAAAGCTGTAGTAATCAAAAACTCCGTTTACTTCTGCAAGACCGACGTCACATCTGCCGTGTAATAATCTTCTGCGAGATACTGGTATTCGTGGTAAGAAAAAGGCTTGAAATGGAGAAACAGGCAGACCAGACGATAGCGCATCAGGGTGGGTCGAGGGCAAGATGTCATAGGTAAGAGAAAAACACTGAGAGTAATCTTAAGAGGTATTTCTTTCGCTCATTTTCCATTTCCGGAGACGCAAGTACGGTACTTTTTTTTTGCATATTTCTATGACGAACTCGTCAAGTGAAAGACAACAAGTGCTTGTGTTGTTTATCGCAGCAGACAGGTAAGAACGTGAAGGAGACCGTATCAGCCGCTTTTACGGCGCAACAGATAACAGCGACGGGATCAAGCAAGACCGAAAATCATTTTGATGATAATGCAGATTTTATAAATATTTTGCACGCGACATCATAGACATAGAAACCGAAGATCGCAGTTTCTTTACTGCGCAGTGAGTAGATGTTGTTGCGGTAAATCATCGCATTGCAAGGCATGATCTTCATAGCCAAATCAATTATATTATCTGCTAATGCTATAGTACATGAAAATGTAAAGTCATATTTTGATCTGCTGTAAATCATGTAGTAGTTGGCAATTTGTTGAATAATAGACCTTTTTTGCACATCGCCGATGACTTCGGCTGGAGCAGCTTGTGACATCACGGACAGCATCACGATGATGTAAATCTACTCGGCAATCTGCCTAAGATTTCCCTGACGAATTCGACGGACAGCATCATAAGCATAATCAATCTTTACAACTGCAATGTTGAATCTTCATCATAGAAGAAATAGATTTACATGTTCCAGGGCTCAGGGCTAAAGGGTAATACCACAGACCACACCACAGGAGGGCTGCCTCCCTCCCTGGTACATATATCAATATCCTCGTCGACCAGCAACTCACTTCCCAGCAGCACTACTGCTCCCGGCGCCCGCTCCTGGCTGAAAACCTCTTTCAATTCGGATTTTTTCGATAAGCATCTGCTCTTGATTGCGAATGTCACCAAGAAAGCCTTCCAACGTTTCGTCGATCAGTTCGTCTTCCGAGGAATAGTCTGCTAGCAGGAGTTAGAACTGATGATCAAAAGATCAAAACTATCACAGCTGGGTATAGAGATATTACAACAAGAAGATATATACAGGTAGAATAGAGATAGAGATAGAGATAAGTAGAGATAGAGATAGTACAGAAGACTCCTGCATTTTTATGCAGTTGTAGTTGTTGTAGTCGTCCAACTTCTTAGTCCTTGACGATGGCATTCTAATCACGTTCACCTGTAGTAATATGATTCCATCACCAATTACATCAACATCATCCTCAGAAAACCAGCGAACATAAGCAATTGCGTCGAGCTCACGAAAATCGCCCATATCCGCCGGAAAACAGGTAGGTATAAGTATGCAGTAGATGAAGCCGCCGCTGATATATATTATAAATGTAGTAGTTGTTGTTGATAGTATTAGTATTTCCTCCATTTTGTTTTTGAGGTACTTAAGTACTTATCATGATTTTGATAACCAGATATCGATCAGGGAGGTTGAAGATGCGTACCTCTAGCAAGGGAAGAGGAAGGTTGTGGGAGATTTTGTGAATGCATTAGACTTAGTGCCGTAAGTGGATTAGAGAACAACATCGAGCTACAAGGCAGATGTATTGGAAATAAAGAGAAACGCCAAGGCTTAGAACAGAACAAGATCAAAATTTTGGAAATACAAGAGAAGGAGCCACGCTATGGCGAGAAAGATCATGCGAATTTCCGTGGAGCCTCGTATCAGATCCCACTGACGACCGGACGCGGCACTCTTGAGCTTGTCAGAGCCAATAATTAGAACTCACCCCATGAAGCTACTTATTTTCAAGAGCATCCTGAGGCTGAGATGACCTCTTCCCTCTTTAAAACGGTCTCGGGATGCTTCCGAAGATGGATTCGGTTTAGGGGCGAAAGCCTTAAAATAAATAGGCGCAGTAGCAAGTGCGCTTTTGGAAACCGCGAAGCCCCTTCATACCCTGTCCGGCCCTGGGCCAGACGAGGATGGAGTACAATCAGGAGTCAGTGCTTCAGATACAAGTACATCTACATCAGTATTATAGGGTTTGAATGATTTAAACAATAATCTAACAAGGGTGGTGGAACAAGAAAAAGCACAACCGATACAACTCTATTAAGAAATAAAAGCACAAACAATACAACCTTGACAGAAATTACACTGCACGTAGTGCAGATACAGCTAGTTCTAGCACAATCAAAATTTACTAGCAATTATACCATGTGCCTCTCTAAGCCTTTGAATCGAAGTTTGTCTGCTTCGCGGCCCAGCTCTCCAAGACGCCTCATGTTGTGCATTTCTTCGCTAGAGAACGCAGGATTCGAGTATATCCCTCCTGACCGCATCGCTGCATTTTTCGCAAGTTTCTTCCTATCGAGGAACAGCCCCAAAAAACGATATGGCAGCGACCCCGTCTTCCGCAGATATCTCTTCAGACGCGCACGCGGTGATACACCTAAAAAGATCGACGAGGACGCTCATTCTCATGATCATCATGAAAAATAAGAGGGAAACCCGCCCTTTAGGATGTTTACGTCTTGCACTTGCACTATAAGAGTAAGACATTTTCGTTGGAATTTATTGACAATGACAGATGATTCATATTCATCCTACGACTGAGACTGTGACTGAAACTAGTCCTTATGTATTTAATAGATGATTCTTGTTCTTCTATGCACACATTTACATGAAATACTATGTTTCACCCGCTCTCGATGTGCAATCCATTTCGGTAAGGTCCCGATGAAGCGTCTTTCCACTACCGATAGCGTCGCGACCAACGTCGTCGTTCTGCAGTATTCTTTGGAGGTCGAACTCTCTTCTTACCGTCGGACCGAAGCAAAGTCGTGATACTGACAAAAACGCACAGGAACCACCAGAGGTAAGTGCAGAAGTGCCGGACGCACATGCACGAAACGCTGCGGCCCCGGAGGACGCACCAGGCGCGAAGAAACTCGCAGGTCTTGTTCGTTCGTACGTCTGCCTCCTCGTCGAAGAAGACGACGATGAAGAGAAATTCGTGGTGAACGATCTCGTGCCACTCCTTGACCTTGTGGAGGCGCACGCGCTCCTACGCATTGGCGGAGAAAAGCCCGTCACTCGTCCGAGGCTGCTACAAGACGACGCCACTATCGATTGCAACACACCTGCGGCACCTGATCCCCTGCTCATCGTTGACATTCCTTGTCTTGATGCCAGTATAATCAACTATTTGTGGAGCCAGTAGTTGCTCCTAGTCGTGTTTCCTCATGAATTCACTTCGTTCTGCTGCAGAAGGATCATCCACCTACTCTGGTTTCACAAGCACGTGCTGTTACATGCCGACATCGGCATAATATGTTCAAGTAGACGCGAGAATTTCTCATGTAATCCTCTCGTGGTCCTCCATCATTTTCAAACAAGTAGGACTCTCAGAAGCTGCTCACTCAGACTCACGACAGTCAATCAATCAATCAATCAATCAGTCAGTCAATCACTCAAGTGCCCATAAAAGATCTGTGTTGATGACTTTCTCTTTGCGTTAGGACTATATGCTGCCTCCCTTTTAATCAATTAAACACTCCGTATAGTAAGTCACTTTTAGCAAAAAGCTTCAACAACTACTCAAGTTGCTTTCAGTTCATACGCAGACCAGCAAAATTAGGGTCCGTTCCATCTGACATCAGGAAAGACCTAGACCGCTTCGTCAAGTCCAAGATTAACATCAAGCTCATGTGCGTGCGTCGTCATGAAGATTATGAAGAAGCAGTAGCCATGCTTATCCTTTCCCCGCTTCTCGGCTGCACCATTACCATTACGTGCAAGAAACTTGCGCCCAATGCCGGGAATGAATGCCACCGTTTCAAGTCGTCCCTGCAAAAGTGAGTGGTCTCAGCACGACAAGTCTCTATTCTTATTGTCTCCATCGCTTGGTATCTCGAACTGGCGCAGCGGCTTTTGAAATTAGACCATTGGTAGGAGCTGCAGGCTTGCAGTCAGGGCTTGCCGTCGGCCACGGAGCAGCCGTGGGCCACGGACTCTTGCTACTAGACGCGGTAGGCCAGGGGGCATCGATGTCGCCACTGCTCTTAGTTGTAGTCACGTCGGTACTAGTTGTATTTGTTGAAGTGGAGAATGAGAATGTCCCATGATCTAGTACAACTGCAACGTTCTTTGTAGCGGAGGTAGCCACCTCTTCGCTACTAACAGAAGTGGGCCATGCCTCCGTGCTGCCGCTGTCCTTTGCTATAGGCCATGCTCCACACAGGTCCTCGGTAGCTGCCACGAGTGGCGCAGTACCCCAGGCGGCAGGTAAGCCACCAGGAGCTCCCGCAGTGGACGAGGAGCTCCCAGGAGCTAGCGCAGGTAAGCCACCAGGAGCTCCCGCAGTAGACCAGGAGCCAGAGCTCCCGTCTTCTTCTTGTTCAGCTCGTGAGGATCCGTTTCCAACTACCCCGACAAGGCCAGTTGTACGATCAGCTGGAGCCGTATCCGCATCCCCCGATTGCGCTCTGGCTCGTTTATTGACGCTACCACCACTGCTAGCGCTAGTGGAAGAAGGTATGTTCCAGCCTCCCTTGTTGGCCTTTGGCACATCAGGAGCAGTCCAAAGATTATCGTTGTCGTCAAATTCAAGACGGCTTTCGGTTACACTATGCGCGAGCTTGATCAACGCACCAGTTCTTCTTCCCGCTCCCAAACTCTGCGGACCCAGTAAACGGGCCAAGAAACTAGTTTCGCCGTCTAAGCGCTCAATCGCAGAAGTGGAGGAGCTACCAGTTGTGCCGATTCTGTTTTTCCATTCGTAAAAGTCAACACTCAACGCCGGTGAACCGTCACGCTCTCCCACTGATGTGCTAGGATCCTCGTAAGAATGCGCTCGAAACCAGTGAAATTCAAGAATTTCTCGTGTTATCGAACAAGGATTCGTTGCTAAAGTCTCAAGGTTGCCGATTACGCAGCAAAATCGTCTGCTTCGTGTCAGTGCGACGTTAAGGCGTCGCCAGTCACGCAGAAACCCCAGGTTGCCGCTTGGATTGCTTCGCACAAGGGACAAAACGATGGCGTCCTTCTCGCTGCCCTGAAAAGCATCGACTGAGCTCACTTGAACGTTGCTGGAAGAATTCCCGCCTTCTTCGCCGAGTTGTCTCCTAATCTTTCCGACCTGCGCCGCATAAGGAGAAATTACGCCGATCGAAAGAGCAGTATCATTGTTATCCTTTGTACCACTACGACTACCAGGATTTTTCATCTTCAAGAGCTGCTCCACGACCCAAGATGCCGCAACTGCTTCTTCCTCGTTATGCTTTGACGATGATGAGCAGCTCTCTGGCGCATCCACGTGTAGGAACATCAGATTCACATTCATCTTATTTGGCGCACCGTTCTTGCTGAGTGATCCCGCGGTTCCTGCACGACCAGCAGTAGCATGGCCATGCCTACCGCTACCATGCATGTTCATATCAAATGTCGAAGTACTAATTATATCGATTCCTTGCCTCCTCCTGCTCATGTCAGCCGCATTCTGTAACTTTCCGTGGTAGAACCGCGCACTGGAGAAGCTAGCGATCGAAGGCGCCATGCGGTATTGGGTGTCCAACATTGTGACCTCCATCCCGCTGTGCAGGAGCCGGTCGAACAGACTGACGCCCAGCCCTCTTCGCGTCGCCTCGTCACTGATCACTGTCGGCGGCAGCTGGCACTGATCCCCGACTAAGACCGCCTGCACGCAACCGCGCGACAGAGGAATTAAGCAAGCGGGCTCAATCACCTGCGCAGCCTCGTCAATGATGACATATGGAAAATGGAGCCGTCTCATGAGCTTCATCCCAGCACCGATACAGGTCGCACAGACAACGTCCGCCCACTCGCGAACAGTTGAGTTCAAGTCACCGCCATACTCAGCGACGAGCTTGTCAAGAGGGAATTAGAGATCGAGATGAAAGACGCAACATGAGCTAGCAGGTAGATGGAATTGACTATCTTATCATGATCCCGTCAGTCATGGTCATCTACTTTCATAAGTACTCGCAAAACTTCTCTAAGTCTAACCTGATCCTGACTCAAGGGTAAGATCTCATTCTCATCGTCGTTATCGGTATCGCTAAATCGATATACATATATATAACGAGATTAGTCCAGACATAAGAAAAATCCACTTGCGATAACCCCACGCGCACCACATTGACACCAAATTTTTTAAAGAGGACCTCGCCAAGATTGTCCGTGCCTTTGTTCGAAAATGCGGTGCACAGGATTGGCCCTTTCCCAGCCTTCAGCCACTCCACTGCGATCGCCGCTGCTGTGAATGTCTTTCCAGTCCCCGGCGGACCTTGCACGAAGCTTAGCCTCCGTTCCTGTGCTAGCTGCACTGCTAGTTGTTGTGACGGGTTCAGAGACTTCCGCAACACATTCAAGAACTGAGCTGACGCTGCCCCCTGGGACGAGTCACGTAGTTGATCGTAAAAGAAGCATTCGGATTTTGGCTTATAGGAAGAGTTCGAGTAGTAGTAGTAGTTGCCACGACTTTTATTTGTTAACTTCACTTCCTCTTCCTGTAGTTCCGCGTCGCCACCGCAAACGTTTTTCACAATCGGGGCAGCGCGGCTGGCCACGCTGATGTCAGCGGACCGACTGGGAGCTTGACGCTGTTGCGGATCCCAGCGCAGAGCTGCTGCACTAGACTCAGCGATATCTGCGGCAGGTTGGAAAGGTAAAGGCCATCTTTATCGATCAGTGTTGTCTCGTTAACCATTTTGAGTTTGAGTTTCTTGACTTTCCTTTGATACTAGATCGTGACAGGAAGATATCGTCCTGTAAAAGTAGTAGGAAAATTTTCATCATTTATATGTACTGCACTACTAGCTTCTAGTGATACCGTGATGTACTTGTTGATCCATAAAATACTGCTGACGCAAGCGGTGTCCCGGACAGCAACAACCCCATCCGAAATTTGTCGTTTTTTTGCTGTGTTTTCGACGATCCCCCGTCACGCTGGATGGTGTCTAGAATTTCATCCATCCGTTTGAAGGTGGCCACAGAAAATGACAGGTCGAGCCTAAACGTCGTAGCCCCTTCTGGCAGATTCGAGAATTGGAGGTGCTGGTCATAATTGATTCATACTCAACATAGTCTCAGAATCCCAAGGGGAATCTGAGACAAGTACTCTATGAAGATGAATTATTCTGAGCCCTAAGAGAAGCTGGTCTGCAGGACGATGCATTTTTTGTCCCCCGTCCATTTTACGACGTCGGCGAAGATCGTAGTGCGTGGATCGTCAGGATTCGGTGTCACGTCGGTCGCACTTAACATCACTTCGCGTCCGACATGGACCTCAGACAAGTGCGGAAAAAAGGGTCGTGAACGATGGTGCAGGTGAAGAATGCCCGACTCTTGGATCTTTGTTCTTGAAGCTGCACTTGAGCAGGACGAGCCACCCTGTAGCTTTATTCCTGAAAATATTAATTCATTTCCTGAAGACGCGCCACCGCCACCTGCTGTTCTAGCTGCCAGTCCACTTTCCAAGACCAACTCTCCGACGCCATATCCATCATGCTGGAGACTGCTCAGGGGTCGCCGAACTCTGTTTTGCGTTTGCTCTTTCGCAGCTGCATGTTCATAGTTCAAGAGGTCCCGGAAGTGTGTCACATAGGCCTCTTTCGCACCTTTCCAGGGAGCTTGGACTATTTGTGTTGCCCCTGGAACACCTGTATCGAGGGTGCGTGTCACAGGATTGAAATACGGCTTCGTATTCGTTGTTGTTGCTTCGCCAGGGGTTTGTGTCTGAGCAATCAGTCCCGCCACATCGCGACAGTCGTTATGGTAGCCATAGGTGAAATCTGGCCGCGAAGTGACGAACTTTGAAGGGCCCAAATCAGAGAGCCAGCGTACTCCCGTTGATGGCAGCGGAAATCTTCTAACCGAAGACGCAACACTTGTTGCCACTGGTGCAAAATCCACACAGCAGGTTGCTTCTTTGACTAGCACGTGCGCAAAAAAGGTCTCTTGCCACAATTTTTTCGGAATCGAGAAGGCGTCCGTGTTCGACAACATGATCCCGTTCTTGTGGAACTGAATCGCGTGTCTGTCTGCATCCAACACTGCTAAAATCGTGTCACCTGTACTGAAATTTTGCCCAAAATTTTGGTACTTACCGCGGTGCGACTTCTTTCCGGTCCCTCCGAACCCGAACCCCCATTCGTCCATGCCTAGCTCCAAACTGCCACCGCCAACGGACCAACCCAACCGGATTGACCCTGGCGTCATCACCAGAATCTGGAAGGCGAACTTTCCGCCACTAAACAGAGGAACGCCCACATCGCTCCTAGCACCAGCCCACAATTTACCGGGAGCGCCACTTTTGCGGTAACACAAGTTCCCGACGTGGCCAAAAAACTCATCCCGGTCGGCTATGGAAAGGGAAACACCAGACGGGAGATTTTTACTTTGATCGCCATCAGCCGTTGGTGGGTGCGACATTCTGAGCTTTTGGGAGTAAGTCTTTCAGAGAATTATGGTTGTACTGAAGAGTGAATTTCAGGATAATATCGCTCTACTGTAGAAGTAGAGTATCTGATACTTCTGATGTTGTATCAACAAAAATAGCGCGGATACTATTTCCACCTTTACCGAACCTGGAGGTGGCTTTGATCCAAGATATTTTGATGAATTTGATCTAATGACACAGCCACAAGACTGCGATAGGAGCATTTCTCTATGACCCACGAGAAGCGAAGGGAATTGCATCCTTGTTATTGTTTCCGTTTCCCACAGCACACACCAGCTTTAAAGAAGCGGGGACACCACGAAAAACAGTACTACGAGTGGGTGGCCTGAGAGGAGCGAAGGAAAAATCAGTGATGAAGGAAACATCAGCGATGGCTGAATCGTCAGCGATGGCTGGATCGGAACATCGAACTTCACGTCACTCGCCTGAGTACGACGACTTAAGGGGATTCTTGTAAAGGCAAACATCGCAAGCGACGTATTTGCCAGATTCGTGTCTTCCTTTCGAGAATTCACGAAATGAAATCTTTTAGCCCCCCTACCCCCAATGGCTTCTTGCTACTGAAAAAAAGACAAGAAGTATAAGCAGAAGGCAAGACTCGAGTGGGAGAATCCAGATGAAAAAGCCTTGTGTCAGCGCTATCCCCCCATTATGTCGGTTTCTGTTTCGCGCAAAACAAGGAACCAATTTGCTCTACATATATCAATCTTTTACCCTAAAATTTTCGCACTGTAGTAATCGTTGGGCCCGTAGTGATTTGTCTTTTCCTGCTGCTTTTTACTATCCTTGCTTTTTCAAAGAACTCATCGCAAGAAAACTGGTGCAATCTCTTTTCAAACTATTTAGCCTATCATCGACGTAACGGATAATTACGATCTTTATGAAGAACTACATGGAAAAGGAAAATAATCATGCATATCTATAATAAAATATCTCCTAGTTCTATCTTCTCTTCCCGTGCGTCTTCCGTTCGAAAGCTGCAGTGTCTCTACTTCTACAACTACTTATGTCAAAAATAGCGTTGAAATTTGATTTCTTAAACCAACACTATCACGAGCAACCTCCTAAGTCGCGCTGCATTAATTCATCACGCTCCTTGCAATCCCGGCGTGGGTGCTGTCGCAGCGACTCCTCTTGCCTTTGCTGAGGCGCTTCCCACTGCATCTTCGCAAGAGCTTGCTCCTGTGCTGTGAATGCTTCCACTCATTGAGAATGTCCATAACAAGGGAATGCCGTTCCCCCCCTTTGCCGTGTTACAACTGTGGAACGACATTCCCATAAGTTATCTCAATGAGAAGTTCTTAATGAGAAGTAGTGGCATCATAAATGCTGCTAAATGAGGCAGACTGTCGAAAAGCGTTTGACACGGGAAGGCCGTGTTCCTGCATGAAGCGTATCAGCATGACATTCTTTTCCGCCGCTTCTCCGACGCGACGCGCGGACACCTTTGCGAAGATCGACGGGTACTCCGGATGCTTCTTCTGTTTCTTCCCGGTAAAGTCCACGTAGTGCTCTCCGTCGAACCAGAAACCGTCTGGCAACGGTTCGTCACGCGAAATCAATTGCATCTCAATATCGTTCACCTCCACTGGAAGAGCTGGAGTAAGACGAAGAACGCAGGAACAGGAAGACGTAGGGGAGCTGCTCGTTCCTTGGTGGTGCTCCTGGACATGGTCATGGTCGACCACTGGTTCTGCCAAATATCGTGCCAGTCGGGAACGCGTCGCTTGACTCCACGGTGAAGACGAAGATCCTTCCCTACCGATTTCCGAATCTACTGTGCGAGGCGAAAGGAGCCAAAATGCCAGAGATGAGCTGGCGCCAGCACTACTACTATTGCCATTGGCTGTAGTCGATGCTTCAGTGGTAATATTTTGCACTTGCTCGTCATCCTCTAATCTTGTAATGATCTCTTCAGCATTGCTCATACTGGCATCAAGCGTCATAGCAGTGACGCTGTGAACCGCTGGAAGACCTAAAAATTTATTCAAATATTGATATTCTTTCAGAAGTAAAAAAAATATACGTATACGCCACGTTCAGGTTGAAGGTGTATCATCACAGCTCATGATCTTGCTGATCTTCGTACTATTTTGAGTGTAGTCACTAGAACAAATCAACACGGTTCGGATTTGCTTACTTAATTTTTCTATGTATGTGTATTATTCAACATATAGTATACTGTAAAAACTTGCGTACTTACCTCTCTTCTTGACCACTGCAGTCTTGACGTTCCGGACTTCAACGGACAAAAGATTCTTGTTCGTCTGCATTTCTTTGCACAGGAATTCGAAAAACGCGCTGCGCTCATACAAGGATCCCGCAGGAAGGGATATGCAGACAAGTTTTAGCGGTAGGATCTTTATGTTAGCGTCACCCATTAGCCTTAGTTCTGCCTGCCTCCCTTGAGTTCGAGAAAGGCAAAACTAACGGCAACAGAAACACCCAAAACCCGCCGCCATAAAAGTTGGGCGCCAGCTAACTCTGCTGGCGTCTGATCCAGGCACCCTGGCTGTGACAGTAGTCTCTGCCGAACCGCGTCGGATGGAATGCGCAAGGCTTCTCCTAGTAAACGCGAAGCGAAATACTCATCTGGCAAATAAGGACGGGTCAAAATGACCTCTGGGTTCACAGTCTTTACCCATTGCTCCATTATCGTCTGCGCTTCACGCAACGAAGGAGAAGAACTAGTTGTACTTGTACTTGTCCTAGTGGTACATGTTCCTCCAAATTGTTCTGCGGATGAACCTTGTTGATTATTCGGTAGCAGTCCCATATGGCAGAACCCCGGTTGCACCAAAGCTCGCAGCCATGGACTAATATGATAGGGGCAACGCGCAAAAACGGGTACAAGATCTGCCAGATTTGTTACACAGTAGGCGTTGGGAGGAGGCGTAAGCGGCAGTCCCAGGTCGTTGACGATGATTGCGTTCATTGCCACCGCCGCAAGCTTATCGTCTGTATTGAACTCGCGGATGAAACCATTGTTAAAACCATTGTTAAAACCCTCCAGGTACACTTCTCTAAGCGAAAGGACTTGCCTCTCGGTTCGTCTCGCAAGCTTTTCAGCCCAAATTCGCGTTGACCTGGCCTCTGCGCTGCCTGGAAGGACATTGATCCACAACTGTTGCACTGCTGTCGTGGCGTCAAATCCTTAGATGAGTCGACAACATGAAGATTTATTTCTGTTGTGATTTTGTAGTTCAGTCCTGCTAGTTCTAGTATTTCTGGAGGTTTACAAAAATCAAAATCTATATTTAGTACATACTTCTAATTGAATTCGAATTGATGCATGTTTAAGTTTATTCACAAGTAGAAATACTTAAGCAGGAAAAGTTGAACGCGGTGATGCATAAATGTCATTTCGCAGCATATGCTTTGGGATTCCGAAGACTGCCCGCCGCGAATTCGGAGGCATGCGGGCGAGATGTGAATCACTAAATACTGCAGCTGTCTTGAATGCAGTCAAACTTTCGTCAAAGACAGCCACTTGACTGGCATGATCTGAGTCACTCGGGGAAGATGGAGATGCGCTGTTGTTCTTTGGGACTGTCATGTTCTTCAAGGTGGTTTCCGTGCCCTTTGCAGCAAATTGGGAGAGTCGATCGCGCGCATGCAGACTGCGCTCCAGGGAGACAAGACGTGGATCGGCCGCGAGAGTGGAGCCCACACGCAGATCAAGAAGGGAGAGCCAACTACTTGGTAAGCGAACGAAGAACTCGAAACCTTGGCTCGATGTTCCACCTCCTGATGTCGAAGGCGTCGCTGAATTAGAGATACGATGTCGGAGGTCTCAGTTTACTCCATTAGCTCTGCCCTTCTCCCCTAAGAAAGGCCAGAGCAAGACTTCTAACGTTGGTAGAAACACCAAAATCAAAAAACCCACGTGACCGTAAAAGACGAAGACGATGACGTAGAGAGTGATGTGGCTTTGCAATACACGAAGCCGGAACCGGGGACCTCGAAGACCGCGGCTTCATCAGCAACAACCCGGAGCAGAAAGCGGCTTCCAGCTGTATCGCGCGACTGATACCGCAAAACGCGACTTGGGAAAAGCGCCAAACTAGAGGTTTTGGACTTCAAATCCAACATTAGAGGTAGGGTCTTGGTGTTTCTCTTTTCCGTTTGTTCTGCCGTTTTTCCATTGGGAGAGGCAAAACAAACGATTACAGATACAGGAACACATTTAGCCTGCCCTTAACACTAAGCCGGAACCCAGGCACAGCAAGGAGGAGTCGTCACATTCGACAGATCCAACAGCTGTGGGTAAGCAAAGAGCGACCAGCACATCGTCAGTGCTGCTTGCGAGCGGCGCCTTTGAAAAAGCGTCCGGGTCTGAAAAGCCCAGAACATCGGAGGCAACTGCCCTCTCCTCAGCAGCGTAGTCGAATTCCTGTTTTAGAAAAAATTGAAGCATTTCAACATTTCTAAGTACTTAACAAGGTGAAGTCGTGAACATCCCGTGTGAAAATGAAGTGTCTCAACCCTTAACTTTTTCTCCGCTGATGAAGGAGGGGTGAGTCCCAGCATTCCACCATCGAGCTGATTGTTGTGTCCTTCGGATTTTGCGGGCAACAGCTGCGCATTGAGGAAAAAGGGCGCAGGAAAGTTGTCACAAGATAGTCTCACGACTTCCGCAGGAGCACGCGGAGAGCTGCGGACATACAGGAAACTGTCACCCCAGATCGCCTCACCTACACGCACTCGAACGCTAACTAGCGAGATTCCCGATTCTGCGCCGTCGATGGGGAGCGCTTGAGATTTCACAGATGCAGGATCATCACTGGCACCTACTCCAACTCCAGCACTCGTCACTTCTGGCGACAAGACGAAACCAAAAGCATCGATTTTCCGGACTCGAACGGCATCAATTCTCGCAGCCTGGTCTGCACCTATTGGAAGCCACGCGCGATATCGCAGTGACATTCCATCTTCTGAAGAAGATGCGGCGTCGCTTGCTCCACCAACGTCAAAAACCGGAAATGGGCCGCTCGGTCCGCTCGTGAAAGCCTCAACGCAATGACGCGCAAGCACAATGTCAGATAGAAGAGACAAAGATTAGCGCTTGTTTTCACTATGCCTGGTTGCTTGAGTGGTTTCCCCTCTACTTTTCACTTTTCCCCTATTTTGATTTTCCCCCCTAAGTCAGGGGACACTTCTTTTCACAGCATAAGTAGTTAGTCCACACGGGACCACAGTGCAAAACTAGCCTTAAGAAGGTGAAGATGAACTATCTGCCGGAGAAGTCGAAAGTTTAGGTACTGTCCTTGCAAAGTACGTCCTCCAGGTCGGACAGACCACCTCGTGGACAACGTGTGTGGATTTGTCGGTGAAAGTCGAGGATGCTTGTTGCAGCTTTTGATGATCTGAAGACTTTTCCCTCATCGCAGTAGCTGCTCCTCTGGCTGGTAGAAGCTCCATCAGCTCAATGTGGTTCATTTCTCCGTACTCACTGTGCTGCATACAAGCTTCCGCGTTGAATCGATTGCTCACTGCTTCCACAAATGCTGCCTTTAGACTCTCCTGGCTGGAGAGAACGCGGGCGCACCATTGCCAGTCTGACACGGCGAAAATGTGTTCGAGTTCGCTCTCCAAGTTCCGTACCGTCTTGTTCATAGAGAGAAATCCATGATTTCCGAAATCATCCAACGCATAGGCCTGGACGAGGGGCCACTGCTCCACGTCTGACCCGAAAACACCAACCGAGCGGCAGTATTCTGATGTGTAGTTAGTTTGGCGATCTTATCTATCAAAAGGAGACTATAATGAGAAAGAGGTTGACGTTGAGAATGATATCTTCTTCATCGCCTAAGAGTAAACGGAAAATCCTGCCAGCACCAGGTGGGATGTATTCAAAGACATTTACTGTACCCTTCCCGCATCCATATGGGCTACTTTGAGCCTTCTTTACACCGAATCCGTCCGGATAGTTGAGCGCCTCTATGAAGGCGCGAATCTTGATCTCGTCGTACCGATCTCCTAAGCGTTTTTCGCGCCATCCCTTTGGATCTGTCAGGAAGAACTGCTTCGACTCGTAGTCGGAGGGCCACTCGGCACAACACCTAATCTCTAGATTCGGCCATAGGGCGCAAACGGTCGCGAGTGCTCTTGCGATCGTATGGTTCGGCACGAACACGAAATTGCGATGTTTATGGAACACAAAGAAAACTTCATCCCAGTCGCTGAGACACGTGCCGAACGCCCTCCTCATGCCACCTGTAGATGCAGCAGCACTTCCTGAAGATTAGAAGAGCTACTTATAAAATATATTATAAATATTAGCTTGATACTAGATGCTGTGGCTGCTTGATGCGTAACATCCTTGTTGCTCTTGCCGTAGTTCGAACTCGAAGTAGCAGCCAAAGTAGCCAGCTGCAACATCATGTTCGAATAATTTGTCTTTGGTGAATCGGCATCCTGTTTTTCCTGCTAATATCTTTTTATGATCTTCTACATCTAGCTACTCCACGTTCCTCGATCTCTTTATTCGGGGCCTTAACCTCCAGCACCGACTTCGTCCTCTTCGGAGCTGGAAATTGCAGCGTTGCTGCAATGGGTTCCCGCAAAAATGTCATTCTTGATATCATCTCTGCGGATTATTTCCTTGACCCTCTGCTGCTCATAATATGCATCGCTGATCCGTTCTGCAGCCCCCAGGTCAAAAACCAGCCGTCTTAGAGATTAAGTAGATGCATGATAGATGATTGCGTCCCTGTGGTAGTTGCTATGTGTGCTGGTCGTGATCAGGAGTCAGTGTAAGAGATGATACTGATTTAGTTAGAGAACCATGCCTGACCACATCAGAGATAGCGTAAAAACAATTCCAGACACTCAAGAATGACGATCATGGAAGATAAGAAGTTCAAATTGTTGTGAGAGATACTGATTTAGTTAGAGCAGACTAAACGTAGAAAAGAACGTAGCAGTCTCTGCATCGTAACTGCTTGCTGTCATTGTCCACGACGCCAACACTATCAGCAGCACTCGCATCCTCTGTAGTGCTTGTTGTCGAGGATGTGTTGTTGGTACTCGTCGGCTCCGCAAGAAACAGCTTACTTCTTCCAAGCGCGTGGCGCGCCAGTAGTTCTTTGGGAATCTCATCGAAATCCAGCTCTCGTAGTGCCAACTCCGGACCCACAAAACCGAGGATGCTGTAGAGGAAGACTAACTCAGAGCCTCGATGCGCGCGAGCGTCGGAACCCAAAACGACGACAAGCGCATCGCAGTCAGCGTCCTCTCGGAGCTGGTGCAGCGCCAGACACCGGTTTCGACTTGCAATCGCCGAAAACATCGACGTCGAAGAAGTCGCTCCCGCCCCGTCGGAAATCGTCATGTTCGTCATGGAGGAGGTTGTGCTTCTTTTATCCTTATTATGGTATCGCAATCGGCAATGACATTCACGAGAAAGATGATTAAAACCGAAGATGAAGACCAAGACCCTTATATTCTCTCAAACAAAAGAATATGTCTATAGAGCCAAAGCACTAGCCTTTCAGCTATTTCTAAGGCTAGGTAGAGGAAAGAGGAGGACCACGACAGGACATTTTTTATCAATTTTGCTCCTACGGCAATGACATTCACAAGGAATTTGTCCGTGGCGTCCGTTCAACTTACTTTATTTTGGTAGACTTCAAACCAACGAGCACGGCATTTTCAGAAGTAGTGACTACTTGCAGAGACATTGATCGATTCCCCTAGTACGTGCACTTGCATATTCAAGAGATTGCGATTAGAGACTCTAGTCCTATTCCGCAAGCTAGTTTCTTAATCAGTCTCGTTCGTCACTCTCAAAAATCGTCCTGGCAGTTTTTTGACTCTCTCTCTCTCTCGTCGCCGGCTTCGGTTACAGTTGCTGCGTTTGAAAAAACCCATCAGATTGATTCTGATTCATCTTTTTGCATTTTTCTTTGGGCGATTTGCAAACATTTTGATTTTTGTTTTTTACATAGGATTTGCAGCCTTGCCAATAAACGACAAAGGTGGATGAAGTAAGGCAATCAAAAAACTTCCAAATCTGCAACGATCAAGGAGAACACCTGCCTCATCATTATCTTGCTCCAATTACGAGAGCTATTTCTATTGCTATGTAGTTATTTTGCATTTTATCTTATTAATGAAGCATTACAATCAACGGCTGCGTGCTCATGCTGTCACTTTTTCATACTTTTTTCCAAGAAGACCTCCCCTAAAAAAAGTGGTGGTCAGTTTTTGTACACAAACCAAGACCTAAATAACAACTTCAAGAGTCCATCATCATGATGATATTTTGGATATGCATGATATTCTTTTTCGTTATGCTGCACAGAAGGAATAATTTTCTGAAGTACGAACTACTCAATTACTGGTCGTGGCTTGAGTCTATATCTTATATATATAGCAATATCTTCACTTATATATATTGTTCCTTTTTGTTATCGTGCGTCCGTTTTTTTTTTAAGTACTTATCAAAGCAGAGTCTATCGTATATGATCGTGGTGCAGGTGCTCCTCGTACAACAAGAATATTAATAATAAGATGGACCTAGGTCCTAGGACTTTCGAAGATCAGTATTTAAAAAACGATGTCTTAAACAACGAATAGCATGAAACTAAAATATTAGTTGCACCGATAATAAGTATGTTATGTTGATCTTCTACTTCATTCATTCATTCATTTACCTAGCACGAGGTATTGTCTAAAACCTAATTAGGATGCAAAGGGGTGGATATTCGTTCTATGTATGATGTCTCAAGAAAACAAGATGCATTTTTTGTTTTATTTTCCGAACTTTTTCACTTTTTTTCTGAATTTATCCATGTGTTTTTTAATTAGGTCAATGCGCTTTGGTCTAGATTGCAACGTCATGGCTTTATCGTCGAACTCAGTTTTCCACTTTCTACAAATCTGACATCTGAGGTATCCTTTGCTCTTCCACTCACAACGCAGCTCTTCTGGTATTCTGAAAGAATCTAGTGCGTATAGTTTTTTTTACATCACCTTACCTATGTGTATGTAGCTGTAGATTTCTAGCAGCTCATAAAGTGAAGTTATACAGAGCCATTCTAAAAGCTCATAAAGTGAATATATGGTTCGCAACTTCACCTCCGGCTAGCGCATCATCATCTGCGGACCCTGCATCATCATTTGCTGCCCTTGCGTCATCATCTGAGGCTGCTGCCCTTGCATCATCATCTGAGGCCGCTGACCTTGCATCATCATCTGAGGCTGCTGTCCTTGCATCATCATCTGAGGCTGCTGCCCTTGCATCATCATCTGAGGCTGCTGCCCCGGCATCATCATCTGAGGCTGCTGCCCCGGCGACATCATCTGGGGCTGCTGCCCCTGCGTCATCATCTGAGGCTGCTGCCCTTGCATCATCATCTGAGGCTGCTGCCCTTGCATCATCATCTGGGGCTGTTGCCCCGGTGGCATCATCTGAGGCTGCTGCCCCGGCGACATCATCTGGGGCTGCTGCCCCTGCGTCATCATCTGGGGCTGCTGCCCCTGCATCATCATCTGAGGCTGCTGCCCCTGCATCATCATTTGAGGCTGCTGCCCCTGCATCATCATCTGAGGCTGTTGCCCCTGTGACATCATCTGATACGCTTGAGGCGTCATCACCTGTCCCCCCGAGCGATTCCCCTGCGCGGCCTGCATCATCAACATTTGTCCCTGTTGCATCATCGCGGCAGCCTGTTGTGCTTGCAGTATCATCGTCGTCTTTGCGTTGCCGCACTCGATAAGGTCCAGCTTCACACGACGTATAGTCTCGCCACGCGACAACCCCTGCTCCCTGTTGTACTGCTCAAATTAAATGAGCTCGCCCTAATCCATCACAATCTCGAGATGCATCCGAAGTCTAAGTGTCAGAGTTTCCCCTTGGAAAAGGGAAATCTCTTGAGGATGCTTCCAGTGTCCTCTCCCCTTGAGAAGTCTCTATGTCTTGAGGATGCTTCCGAAGATGGACTAGGGGAACAAGGAGCCTTAATCAATTTTGTCGGTGATCCAGTCATCACTAATATCACGCCAATCCTCAACATCGCGCAGAAGCCTGGCTGCGTCGCAACTGAGCATGTTCAGCCAGCCTTTGGTGAGTGCTTTCCAGATGCACCTTATATGTTAGAGCTCAGCACCCTAATCTTCCATCTCAAGATAGTGCATCCTGGAGGTGGAGGGTGCCGTTTCTCCTAATGAGAAGCCTCTTAAGGATGCTTCCGAAGATGGATTAGGGAAAGCCTTAAACATGCTGCACGTTATGGAAGCGGGCAGCCAGTTCGCTCGCTTTCACACTGCTCACGTCCGGCACGCTGCTGACTAGGAAAGCGACGACATCAGGATCACGAACCTCCGGTTTGCTGCGAGACTCCTGTGGACCTGCTCCATTGCAGGCGTTGATGACACCGTTCGTCCCACTCCCACTGTAGTCCTCGTTGTTGTGTCCGTACTTGTTCTCTTTCGTGTACTTCGCGTAAGAAATCAGCTCTTCTTGATTAGATGAGGTAGTAGTTGCATTTCATTAATATCCCTGACTGAAGAGTGCACATTATCCCTCCCTTTTCACTGCCACTCAGGACGACGTTCCTCCGACGGACACCGATCGTGGTCTTGACACACCAGTTGTCTCAGTCAGATAACGGAATTTAATGGCCTAGTTAACCTTGTTAGGGGAGAGTGAAAAACCTATTCCACAGATCGATGAGATCGAGATGAGAAGAGTTCCTGTCCGCAGGGTGAGGAGATTTCTAGATAGTAGTAGATACAACTAGCCATAAGTTGAATCAAGCGCTGCGACTCAAGTTTGGTCTTGTCCTCATCGGTGTAATACTTTTTCCACTGTTTTTTGATCCAGGTATCATCGATCCAGTGCCAGTCCTCGACTTCTTTCAAAATGCGTGTCGCATCCGCTTTCGTGTAGTCGCAGGTTAAACTTAGAGATAGAAGAGTGACTAAAGATTATGACAATTTCACTTGTGATCAATCAAATTCAAAGCTGAATAAAGTAGGTAAATTTCAATTGTAAACTTCAATCATGCTGTCCTTTTAGGCGGAGCTTTTTCCCCTCCGAGAAGTTCTTCTAGTGAGGCTGAGATCGAGATGTCATAAGTTGTACAAGGCTTTCCAGATGGCTTTCACTTGATCTGCGTCATTGAATTTCGCTGCGAGCTGACCGGCTTTCTCCTTGCTCAAATCGCTGCACGAGTAAATCTCTTTCAAAATTTTCTCCAGATTTTTCGGATCGTCTTTCACACGCCAGGGTTCCTGCGTCATCATCGTGAACACGCGCTGGCCGCTTTCCTGCTTGCTTAGGTCGACGGAAGAAATTAGGGAAAAAGAGTACAAACATCCATCACAAACCAGCTTTGCGATCGCCGAATGGGCGAAAACAGCTCTAATACTACGATCATCCTAGAACTACATCATGGTCATGTCAATGAAAGAAAGACATCAAAAAAATACTTCTGCACCTTTCAAGATCTACAAAACCAAAATGCAGGTCCTGCTCCTGCACGAAGAAGAAACAGTTTCTGTAGTACGTGAAAGTCACTGTGACACTGAAGACACTAACAGGAGTCGTGGCGTCAACATAAATTGTAGAAGTAACGGAACCATGCGTCAATCTGCGTCTTATCTTCCGGTAAGTGACTGAGCGAGACCCATTTCCCACTAAGCTCCACGAGCTTGTTGCGCGCGTCTTTTTTCGGAAGGTCCCACTTCATATACAAAAAGTCCCACACTGCTTGCACCTGAGCTTTCGACTGCCAACCAGCATTACTGTTAGCACATGTATGTGTATGGTGGTCGCGGTCATATTCACATTGAAGTTCAATTTCGCTTTCATAAGTATACTAATTCTATTTGAAAACATATCCTGCTGCTCTCGTCGTTCACGTTTTTTCGATTACTTCTAATATCACACTCAGTCTATGTATTAGGTGGAATTCAGCAAGTTATTAGTGGTACTAGCTTAGGCTTAGTAAGAACAAACCTACCAAGACCAACCACAATTTCCTTTATCTAAATGGTAGGAAAAGGAAAGTTGCTGAAGCTTTGTTAGTCTTAACTCTTTGTGCCGCTGCGTCTCCCTTTGAGAAGTCCGCTTCGAGGTACAAGAACTGGTACAAAGCCTCAGGATCACGCGCTTGCCTCAGCATTTTTACCACAAGAAAGACAACAAGAACAAGGAGAATTCTTATCAAATAAATGGTGAAAATCTACAACTACTTGTTTATCCTTGTGATTTAGATTTTTAATCTTTCGAAAAGTGTGAATATGTTTCTTTTGACAGTGACGAGTCACAACAATCAGCACAGTGGGATCGATTACTTGACTGCGACTGCTGAAGGCCAAGAACAGCGATAGTTTTATTTCTACTTCCGTTTAGAATTTGATGTTATGTTGGAATCCTCCAAATGTCCGTCGTGTTATAGGCGTAGTTGTTTGAAACTATCCCCTATTTCTCCGACTAAGCACAAAGTGCAATCCTGCGATTTAGGTTTTTTCAGAACTCAAACAAGCGAGCAGTAGGTAGCAATAGTAACGCTCGTGACCACCTGACGGACATGGAGAACTCGCCACTTCGGTACTCTCTTCTTGAAACTCTTCGAACACGCGTGGCACTTTATTAACAACTCCAATCTCTTCATTCAGTTTGTTTTAAAAATTGCACCTGGCAGAATATGAATAACACAGACATACATCAGCGAGGAAGTACTTCAACTCTCAGGTTCAGATAGGATCAGATGACATCTGCATGTGCATCTCTCAAAGGCCTAGAAAAGGCGAAGTTGAAGCACTCCATTGATCCTCATTCATCTCGTCTCTCATAACCGTCCATTCTGGTAGGTGCTCCAAGAAACGACACTGCGAATCAACAGCACAACCAGCAATAGTTATCATTATTCTTATCATTATCATTCGCGCGCGTGACCCTCTCGTCTCGCTCGTGTACGAACAAAAATAATGGCTGCAAACACAGTATTGCAAGGGCGACTACTCGCCCGGTATTTGCGCAGACATGATACTAGGATTGAATAAGAATATTACGTGAAGAGAAATTCATTTAGTGGAAGTAGTCGTAGTGCGATATGATAATTGCATGATGAGAACGGAAACAAGACCATGCATGCATTCATCATCCTCTCAAAAAATCTTGGCACCAGCTCCCTTGATTTGCTGTGTGCATGCTGGTGGAGCTGGAGGCACATCGAGAGGTCTTCTAGGTAAAGGTACTATTAGAGCTGTCCGTAATTCATCTTTCAAGTGTGCGCATCCGTGAAAAGTATGGGGAAGTATTCCCTTAGGATACTCCTCCATATGTTTCACGGATGCGTCCAAAGATGTATTAGGTACAGCCTTAATACTAGTGGTAAAAATTAAGTGTAAGTAGTTGGTCTTGATATATTATAATTTTGTCAATCGTGATCGTCGGTTAGCTTATGGCTCCTCCACATCAAAAAAAACGAAACGAGAACCTGACACAGGTGCATCAGATTCTAAGATGTGAAGGTGCTCTTTCGTATGTATTTCTTGTATCTGTATCTCTACGAGTCATTCTCGTGCTCATCCTCTTATCTATTACTTAGAAGCCAAGCGAGTCCCAGTATTAGTGGCAGAAGTAAAAGAAGGGTAGGACGATCATGACGCGAACGAATATTTCACTATGAAATGATCATGACGGGAACGAATATTCCCTGGAGCATCAACAAGAGTGGCTGCCCTCACTTCTCGTTGTGAACGGGACGGCGGTGGTCCTTCCTCGATTGACGTTGAGTGAAGAACCGGGATGACCCGGGACGGTGGTGGTCCTTCATCATCGATTGACATTGAGTGAAGAACCGAAGAAACTGCGAAAAATCAATCAACATCTAAGAGCACTACGTGCACTAGGTGCATAAGGATAAGGATTTATATAGTGTCAGATATTTCTCTAAATTTTTCATTTCCATTTACCAAAAATCTAAATCTGAAAAATACTAATACATAGATACTGAGGCAACACAAATTATTACCTGTTACACATCTTCCAGGAGCCTCTCCCTATAAATACTTTGCTCGTGAAAAATTAAGTAGTTCAATTTTGACTTCCTGCAAGGGATCTATTCTCCTTGGCGTTGCTTGCGCCGAGGAGAACGGGAGCGATATCGAGAGGGAGACGGCGATGTCTTCAAACTTCTGCACCAGGAGTAGCGACCCCTCCCAGTTGCCTCTCGACGAGCAGCGCGGCGGCCACGATTAGCGCTCAAAACGATTCATATTATTCTCAGAGCATAGTGATAGTTTCAGAATCCAAGATGAATGGTGGATCAGAAATAAGTACTCTTGATCCTCTGTGAAAATGAATTACTCCTATGAAGAGCCTTAACACAAAATCTCTGCACTAGAGAGGTAAACATGCTCTTTTCTCCGCTTGGAACTGTCGTGTTCTGCATGCCTCCAGTAGACGTGTTCGACAGAATAGTATTGCCATCTTCGCTGCCTCTGCCAATCTTTGAACTAATTTTTTTAGAGGAAAACGTATGAGCGGTTCCATCATCCTTGCCTTGGGACGAATCTTCCGGACTGCTTTCGGACCTACTACTAGACAGTAGGCCGCTATTGCTCATTCGCGTTCGTGCTGGCGATCCGGCGTTGCTCCTCCTGCTCGCGCTGGACGGGTTCCCGTGCTCGTCTAGCGAAGGTGCTGGGCTTGTTGAGATTGTGTCGTCATGACGACCGGACGACCGTTGTGTATTACTTCGACTTCGACTCATGATCTGTGCATCTGCATGACCAGATGACCCTGTGACTCCAGCACCACCAGCTGCTCTAGGCCGCTTCAACTTATTTATTTCCTGCTCGTAGTGTCTTGTGAGCTTCGTGACATTGTTGTCCTCTGAATCATCAAGCGCGTCAGGATCAGGTCTCTTTCTTTTCGTGCCTCCTTGAAAAAATCCCACTTTTCCCAAAACCTTGTCTTTCCCCTCTCGCACGTCTTTTGCTTTTTGCTCAATTCCCGAAACAATCCTGCTCACGAAGGTATTACGGGCCTCAACATCCGTCTGTACTCCTCCACCGCACGAGGACGCGGAACCGGATCCGCTGCTCGTCGTCCGAGGAGTATCTTCGATGTCGCTGTTCTTCGCGCACACTGGCTTCACTTCTTCGACTTCACTATCTTCGACGTCCTGTTGTTGTAGTTGAGTGGTCGACGTAGAGGTCGAAGTATTCTTTCCTTCGAATTGTGCTACGATGGCTTGAACGCGAGGGCCAATACGTCCAGAAGCAGGAGTGCGTTGCAACTGGTTGTCATCATCTGCTCTGGCACTAGGACCAACTCGCAGGGCTGCAATAGTTTGCGAAAAGAAACCCCACAAAACCGAAGCGAAGAGAGCGCCCTTTCCCGAACAGAGGGATCCACGTCTGACATCCTTCATGTTCGTAGGTCGCACGGCTGCTCTCCATTCCGGAGTTTTCATCTTGTTTTCAGTCCCCATCTTTCTTGTTGCGGCGTCTCGATGTGGAGGTTAAGTACTCAGTCCTCTCAGTCTCTTCAGTCGAGTTTTGTAATGAAATTGATAATTGTGGTTAAATTCATTAGCGAAAAATAAACCATTTTACGCAACGAAGAGTCTTATATTTAGTTATACTCAAGTTCAACTGGTGGTGTTGGTGTGGTTAATTCTATTTCTAATTGTTCTTCTTTTTAATAGCGAAACTCGTTTGCGTACTACCTTTTGTCATTGTCATTGTTTTCAAATTATTCATAACATTAGCCTCAAAGTTGCAGTTCTGTATTTGTGATGAAAAGTGGTGGCCCACGGAAATAAGCTTTCAAGCGGAGAGAACCAACAGTAAAAGTGGTGGCCCACGGAAATAAGCTTTGAAGCGGAGAGAACAGTGCAAAATCTCGTACTACTATGTAGAAACAGCACGAGCACCTAGAAAACTAAAGTAACAAAGATGTTGAGAGAAATACAAGATTAAGGAGGTGTCGAAGGTGGCGCAGATGAATTTCTTGTCATATATTGGTAATGGTATTGATGCACGCAGATTTTTCTCGCAAGTTCGACCGTCTATCTTGCCTTTGGTTTTGCATGACACGTCGGGCAAGGATTTTTGCCGCACCATAGCCATGAAGATGGCACCTTTACTTTCTTGTAGTTCTTGATGTATGTCTTGGTAGAAAAAGAAATACATTTTTGTGCGCACGATAAAAGGTCATCGGAGATGAATATTGAGGGAATGAGAAGGAGGTTCTCTATTAATTTCGTTCGGTAAGCATATGAAATGTACATGTGGGAACGTCAAGAAGGTGAATTCAGTCGTTCTCATTGGTCAACAACATCCAGCATAGACCCAGCATAGACATAGTCAGAGTGTGTTGCTGGAAAATGTTGCACCATAATCCGCGTTCATAAGTATTCAGCTTTACTTAGCATGCATATGCTTCATCACTGTCCTGCAATGACAGGGACAGTGTTCGTTTCTTGAGAAGTATTCAATTTCAATTTTCCTCAGTACTATTGCGATGAACTACAGTGCAAATTCATAGCCGCGACTTAGCAGGAGAAACCAACACGCGGAATACACCACACGCCTCGAAGCTCGATCTCGAAAAGGTACCTTATGACATAAACGCTACAGCCCGTTTCTGGACCTTCTCATATCAACACCAACATCAGTTTACGTCAACAAAATATTTCTCTTTCTGTTCGTTTCAAAACAGCTAGAACTTGAACTTCTTGTTCAACTCCTACTATTACTGTACTCGTACCGATACCCCTATGGACCCTTATTACCATTACTTAGAATGGCTACAGGCAGCACAGCTAGTAGTACTACTAGCGACTTATTGCAATTGACGTTGACCAGAGTATCTGTTCTAAAATATCACGTTGTTACTGGGGTAGTCTATCGCTCGTCTCCTTACTGCGTGCGGGAGAGAAGGTCATGACACTGCAGTCTGGACCCACCCAGTACATGTCACAAATGCACTCACCATTGACGCAGACGCCGTTGCCGCTGCATTTGTTTACGCACAGCTTTCTCTGGCAGTGGCTGCCTTCGAATCCTTGCGCACAGACGCACTGCTCCGCAGGATACTCGATGTATGAAAGGAGATGCCGGGTAGAGTGGTCATTAATAGACTTTGAGGCGAAGAGAACAGTGCTGGAATGTAAGATTAACATCTAGAGGTAGAATACCTGAGCGTAAGTCGTCCATCATTTACTATCAGAAAAAACCGGGAAGGAGGGGTTGAGTAGTGAAATCAAGAAACCAGAAAAAACACAGAGGCAAAAGGAGACTAGGGATAGCTGAATAAGCACCTCTTGCAACAAGAAACAACAAGAAAACGCTTTCTAGTGCGTCTTCTACGATCGGACAAGAGAGGGCAAGGACTGACTCTTTAATCATGGAAGACGAACTTACTTACTTAATACTTACTTACTCACTTACTTACTTACTGATTCAGAGGACTCATCTCTGTGTTGAAGCTGACGCTCTTGATGGATATTGCGCTTCAGCTCCAGTTCAGATTTGGTCCATAAATTCCAACAGTATCCGCGATGCACGAATGGCGTACTGCTGCAGTTTTTGTAGCAGGAAGCCATGCTACAATCCTCCCCTGCCCAGCCTGTGTGGCACTGACACCGCCTCTGAAGACCTCCACTAGAATCACGCTCACTGACGCAAAGACCTCTCCCGCTGCATTCGATGCAATGATATTCCATTGAGTTTGGATCTGATGTTTGTGGATGTCATGGAACTGAAGACCATACTATGGTCACCATAGAATGTACTTGTGCCATTATGTTGATCTTGATCATCTTCATTTTTTATATGAATTTCATTGTGGGTCTTGGACTGAATCACCTGGGTGTCTCTGAATCATACCTCTGATGGACCCTGAGAGTCACTTAGGAAGGGGAACTTCAGGCTACCACCAACAGAACCAGAATCTTTAATAAATTACGAAAGAGAGCAACGGCACGTAATCCCACTCCTGCCCCCTGGAGCCCGAGCCTCCATTTACAAATACCAAGCCTAAGGATCATTCAATACAGAGCACAATGACAAGAAACACGCTCTACGTCTACTATGAATAGTAATAGTAGTACCGCTGTAACATGGCGAGCCTGGACATTGTGGTACACTGCAGTCGGGTCCTGTCCAACCGTTTGCGCAGATACAATGCGAAAACTCGCAGACGCCCCTGTTTAGAACTAGGTTTTCACTATCCCTGGTTGAGTGAGATACAGCCTGAGACGCTTCGCGACCAACACTACGTACCCCTTAGTGTTAGTATTAGTTTCCCCATTAAATCAAGGGGAGCGCCACTCAGCATATGCCACAGGCACAGCCACATTGGAATTGGATAATCATAGTATTTGTATTAGTGATAAACTAGCCTTAATCTATGTGGGTCTGTCGCGGTGTTGCTGCAGTTGTTGGGGCAGACGTCAGGCCTCAGCCGCCAAACACCCAGATGCATGTTAGGTCGAAAAAGAGGCGTAAATTCGTTCACATCGCAGATGCCCTTGAAATATGAAAAGGTGAAGGGAACAAGGGAGCAAGCCAGGCCTTGGCCTGACCTGAGAGAGGGTCTATGTTGCTGGAAAGTCAAAGTATGTACTACGGTTCTTATTTGATGGAGACTTTGTTCCTCGCATCACGTGCGGAAGATTCTGATTCGGGTGGTAATGGTAAAAAAAATCTTCTATAAAAATTGATAGCTGGCGACGGTGAAGTTTTAAGATGTGGTAAGCTTTACCTCGACAACACGGACGAAACACAGACGATGCGATGCTCTCGATGTTCCAGTTCCTGTCGATGTTGGCAACATCAACTACCACTGTAAATAGTCATCTTGTGACGTCTACTCGCACGACCACAGCGAGCAACAACAAGGCCATCAAGGCTTATACACAGATAAATCATAAACAGAGGAATCGCATCGCGGTTAGGTTGAGATAGTTTCTCGCTGGCCCGTCACGAACGATCAGATCGTACTGGACTTCAACCCTTTCTTTATTCTGGTCGATTGCCGATGCAGTGATGCGCTCCATACTATTGCCGTCGCGATCTGCCAGCACTAGTCTGCGGCATCCATTTTCCTCCGTAAACTGTCCCGGTGTGTCGTCACCTTAGAAAAGTGTGAGTGGAAAAATAGAACGAACAGGTACGAAAGAAACTTTTATTGTGTCGTCATGTCTACTCTGTCTCTGATCTTTTTTTGTACTTAGGCTTAGACGCTATCTACAGAACGAAGTGTCGAGTACCACTACCTCTAGAAGTGAGAAAGACAGCGTATCATCGGTCTTCGCAGGACAAAATTCAGAAAAATGTCGACAGCCATAACAGATTAACGGGTTCTTTGGATCTGGAAAGTTGTTCCATCGCAGCTCTTCGTCTGCTGTTTGGGGTCGTGGAAAGTTATTGGCCAGAGGACAGCACAGCTGACGATTAGGATCGTCGCAATTTAATTGCACGGACCGCACTAAATCTGCAGCGATGTCTGGATCCCCTTTCACGACGAACAAGTCTGTCAACTGGGGGTGTTGTTCCTTCATGTCGCGATGGGATATGAAAGAGGGACGTGAACTGTTTTGGAGAGTTGCAAGTGGAGGTCGTTGAGGTCGTGGAGGTTACAAAGTCAAAGACCCCTCCTGGTTCATTAGTCTAAGCTTGAGCTTGAGAAGTAGCGCGAGTGAGAAGTAGCTGATGCTGCAGTCAGTCACCTTCATCATTATCCAATCATAACATGAAAGGTCGTTGGCAAATCCTTTGCAGATTTGAAGCATCGACGATCTCTATCCCGCCTATCGTCCGTGTTATTCAAGTCGGTCTTCACCCACGTGATCCCACCAAACATGAGCATTTCGTTGTTCGGTTCATCCCACACGGAAGTATGGAAGGCAATCTTCGCTGGACGCGTTCCTTCAAAGGTATTGTCTAGACGCTGCCACTTTCGATCCTCGAGAGGCCGCTCCACGTCGTAGCTCCAAAGATCGCCCAGCGGCTCGTCTTGCAGCTGGCCTCCATAAAGAATGGCCATAGGTTAGAAGAAAGAAGTCACCGATTGCATTTTCTTCTGCTTCTGCTTGCAAGACGTGCTCCCTCAAAGGTGTTGGCTACGGCTCAGCGCAAAACGCTCCAGGCGTGTTCCATAGCTGTCCCGCAGCTGCCTCCTGCATGTCTCAGCCCGAGCGGCCGTCTGCGCTGCTCCTGCGTGCTCCTGGCTGTTCCGTGGCGTGTCAGGCAGCTGTTCCGTAGCTTGTTCCGCAGAGTGTTCCGCAGTGTGTCGCGGAGTTCCGCAGCTGTTCCGCAGGGTGTTCCGCGGAGATTTCAGCGGCGCGCGAATCTCTGCCCCCGTAGCGACTGTCCCGCGCCTCTATGTCTTCCCCTAGCTGCGCTAAGTGGCAGCGGCAGCCCGGCGCGGCACCTTGTTCCCCTTGCCCTTTTCTGGGCCCTTAGCGCCACCAAACGGGCCGCCCGGGTCTGTCTCGTGGCGCTTAAGGGTCCAGCTGGCTGGCTGCGCCCCGCCGATGTCACCTTCGGTTCTACTCCGCCTCGCGCCTCTTTGCTCTCCGTCCCCTCTGTCCTTCCTCCCGCGACCGCGGCTCCCTTCGGCACTTCCCGCGCCTCTTCCATTGTCTCGTTCTCCGCTCTCGTCTTTTCTTCCCTTCGCTCGGGCGTTCCTCGGCTGCCCTCGCCTCCTCCTCTCCCTCCAAAAATAGCCTCCAGCGGCGCGCGCAGCGCGACGTCCGTGGGACTTACTAAATATTAAATATAAATTATGCGTTTTTATTCACTTTAAACTTCTCTCTCATTCTGTATTTTCATAATGCGCATCTCCGGTCGTCTGTCGCCGAATAACCATCGTGTGGCCCTTTCGCGCCTTAGGTCGTTCGTAGGTGCCCTCCTTGTAGTAATGCTTTACCCAAAGATTGGCTTTCTGGTTGTAAATCCAAGTATCATCGTAGTAATAACGGTTGCGCTCGAAGTCGGGATCAATCGACTCGAAGTCATACGTTCGCATCACCGCGGAAGCGTTCTGTGTTTGGCGGGGCAAGAGAAACTGAGTACTCGTCGATGGAGGACTTCATCTTTTTAGCATTGTACTAGCCCATCATAAAGATGAAGAAAACTAATTCAGGTCGTATGGTGTTTGAAAACTTGAAAACGACATCAGCATGAAAGATGAAAGTGGCTTTACCCTAGTGTAGGATTCTCCAGTGAATTGCGGTAAGGGATGCAGATAGCTCCATTCTGTAGAAAAGCCACCGAAAATCATCAAAGGATAGTCCCTCCTAAAGAACTGCATCTGCAAGTCGCCCCTTCCCTTCGGCGAGTTGCCTCCGTCCGTTCGCTTTGCCTTCACTGCTCCACACGCATTTCTTAGCAGGTTACGACATCATCACATCCTTGTTCAAGAAAGCAGCCCCCCTTCCAACATCTCCACCAATCATCTCTGTTTTTTTACTACTAGAAGGGCGAGAGTCGATGACGATCATGCAGATAAAAAATGTTACAAGTAGTAGTCCTAGTCGTAGTAGTCCTCATAGTGTACCCAATCTATCATGGGGTATAGAAGATGCTATTGCTACAAGAACGAGGATATAATTTTCTGACCCGTCATAAGTTGCACAGCTGTCTGATGATGCTATTCGGCGGAATGTTCTCGTCGATTTCTGGGTCATAGTGTGACGCATCAAGCGTTTCTGGAGAGAAAATGTTGTTGCGTTAGACCTTACCGATATTCGTCCTCAGGAGCATCTTGGTAGCCGTTTTCCCTTAGAAAACCCTTCCAAGATGCATCTTAAGATGAATAAGAGTAAGCCTTAATTGTAGTCAATTGCGAATCTAGTAATGCTCTTGATGCCATCGGGGTCCAGATTTTCCCACATATCAGTGAAAACACGATAACGGAACAGGCTCGTTTCCCATCGTCCGATGCCTTGCCCTCCGAAAACAAACAAAAACTGATTATCGTAGGACGCGACCATGCCTGGTGGAGGTGGTGGTTGTGGTGGTGATAGAGGTAGAGATGGAGATTGAAGATGGTGATGTTGTGATTGAGTAAAAGTTGGATGATATTTTTCGATGGAACAAGTACGCAATGGAGGATGCAAACCTCTGTATTTTGTCACGTAGAAAACCAAAACAGGACAAGACACTGGAGATCTGTAGCTGTACCATTCACATTCTAAAAGAAAACTACTAATCACGCTTATGGTAGTTGATCCCTCTTCTATTTAGTTTCGTTAGTAAAAAGTCTTCATATAGTGGTTCTTGTTCGTCAAAAAATACTTCGCGCAGAGGCAGGTAGATAGATGAATGGACAGACAGATAGATAGAAGACCATTGCGTCAATTGTTGCTGCAAGGATAAGACAAAATATTTGTAGTACTATGCCGAAAGCGTCCACAGTAGTTTCCTTGCGGTACGCAAAGTTTATTCGCTTTCGACCGCAAAAACCACTGATTGCCTTGCTGCCACGGTCGTGCCGGAAACTGTGGGTATTATTAGGGGTTGAAAGTGGACCTGTCTATCCTTTTTCCCCTTGAAAAAAAGGTCATAGATATGCCCCTAGATAGGTCAACTTCCAAGCCTTAATAGTAGGCCATCGATGCCCAGGGAATCTCGTACCTCCACAGGTCATCGCAAAGACCGAATCGACACTGCATCGCGGCTCCACCGAAAATGTACATGTACGGACGTTAGACCTTGACACTAAATCCATCTAGGTCCTTAGCATCTTCCTTGGTGCCCCTGTCTTGTTGTTCCATTCATAAACACCAGGAGGAATACCAAGGGACGAGCTCGGTGAACACCAGGACGCGAAGGTCGATGTTGGTGAAGGTGGATTTTCTCAGGGCTTAATGGCGACGCACGTTATCTGGATCGGAGGCGCGCGTGTAGATGATCAATTGCGCTGCATGGGCATAGCGGGCTTTGGGTGTGCCGACCATATCTGTACTGGTGTCAGACTGCGACGTGTCAAACTTCATAAACTGCCACTGGTTCACGACAGTGTCATACCTGGTGAGGCAGGAGTTGGAGCGATAGTCTGAAATGTAAATTTCTTATTTCTATCCTAATGCATGAAATAGTCGTAGAAAATCTGGCACTTGAACTTGATTATTTAAGATAGCTGTCATTATGTTGGTCGACGTTACAAATACAAAAAAAAAACAAGTAGGTCTGCCGCAAAGATCAAGAACAAGAACAGGCGCAAAGGCAAAGAACCGGTCCGGCACACCACGTTCAAAAACAAAATAAGGAATCACACACACTAGGATAGAAATAGAATAAGAATGCTGGTGTTTTAATACCGCCAAAGTTCATCCGTCGCGAGTTCCAAACACGACCTGAGCTCCCTAAAACCCGTCACCAAGTCAAAAGCACTCTTGTCCATGAACTCGCACTCGTGCCAAATCAGTTCTGACTGTATTCCCGGTACTTTTGGATCCGTGTCTTGAATGATACCTGAAGAGAGGAGGATAAAAACCCCAGACTAGGAAGAAAAAGACGATGCTGGACCCTGATCATGATCATGATAGAGATATTTTATACTTACGCGAACCTCAACAAGCATTGGCACTCTAATGTTACAGACTAAGAATAAGTTCCAAACAACAAGTACAAGAGATAGAAGAGTTAGAGCAGTGGTGCCATGGTGGAAGAATGCTGAAGACAATTGTGGTTTTGCTCTTGCTTACCTCTTTTGTATTCTCCAAATTTCGGGAACGTGTAATCGTGAACGTAGGTTCGTCCTCCGAAGACCAAAAGCATGGTCCTATCGAAGGGCACCTCGCTGCCAGTGACATCGTGAGTGCGCATGCACATGCGTCGTTTCTTTTAGAGCTCATAACAAGACTCACTTCTTGCGTGCATTTCTTGCGATGCTAAGAAGAAAACAGCAGGAAACGTTTCGAGTAAAAATGAATTGCATTTAGCCTTACTCCTTGCAGCAACTTGGTGGGCACGTTTGGTGCGTGTTTTCCAACAGCGGCTCGAATAAGCCGTCATCAGCGTCGATGAAAAATGCACTACGGTAATAGTAGTTACCTCGCACATCCTGACGCGCAAAATAGGCGTCCACACCGCCAAGACATGTGAGATTGTAGTGGCAAACATTCTTGTCATCGATGCACATTTCCGGCGACTGCAATGGCTCACCAGCGCAAAGAGAGAAATGAGAGAGGAATAAGAAATACACGTGCACCTGCAGCGCATGCCATCTAAACCAGCATCAAGAAGGAGCAGCTACACATCAAACACAAACTCAACAAAGGGCAAGCATCTACTTTTTTATGGTACACATACGCATCATTCAAGAGCGGGCCTCTATTAGGCAATTTTGGCATTGAAAACATCAACTTCAACTGAATCTCAAGTAGTAAGTTTAGTAACTATAAAGCCTATGCATCTGTATGATGCAGGAGATCCAAATCCTACTCAACCTCGTCTACTGTCCTCAAGGAACTGGAGTACCGTAAGCCATACTTCAAATACGCTTCATGATGACTCCACGTGCGGTACGCCGTCATGGTATGCAAGAAGCGTCCCGATGGCGCGATCGGAATAAAACTGCAAGGGCTACCCGTCTTGCAATCTGTCAAGTATCGCCAGTCTGTTTGAGGATAATAGGTCACAGTCCACAAAATTAGAACTCCTCAAATACAACAAGTACAAGATACTCCTGCTCATGTTCACAAGAAGTTGAAGTTGTACATGATAACTCTTTTTAAAAATTTCCCACGTTCATCTTCTTCTTGTTGATCTTCTTCGAACTATTCTTTGTCGTGATAGATGATCTGATGGGCCTTAACAAATCCCCACTGTCGGTCGGCGGCGGCTCTAGCCACGTGTAGTTACTCTCGCCTAGCGTCAGCGTGTAACGCGGTGTACTGCCTCCCTCTGACGTTTCGGACTGCCATCCCAGTCGCCGAGTGCGGATGGATTATGAAAAGGGGAGAACGAAACTGGATACTTTATTCACTTTTTTATTTAGTCGCAAGTATTATTGACTCTCGTTTCTGTTCTTATATATGCAACACAAAAAACTAAAAGCAACAGGAAAGAACATGATGAGTACATCTACAGGCACTATAGAAGTTAGAGGACAGGAGGGACAATACTCATACAACAAACTTCTGTTCCTACGGAAAACAAAAAAGAAAAACTATGCAAGGAAAGAATTTGAGTACGGCAGAGGTAGAGGTAGCGTATCTGACAAAATCCTTATACTCAGCATATTTAAACTTATCGATCGAATTCGAATGTTGTCCTGTACTACAACTTGTGATCTTGTTCTTGTGATTCAGTTCTAGTTCTACTAGAAATTGCCGTAAGAAGTAGTTCAGCTTGTAATCCGTGATGTGCGATGGGTAGTCGTAGAAGGTGAATCGGAAGCGGCCACATCCTTTCTTGGGAATCAGGGCGTCCCGACAAACTGGTATCTTGTCCAAAGTTGTAGCCACATTTGGGTTTCTGTGATTCATCCACTCGATTTCCATGCTAAAGTAGGCGTTTCTTAGAGCCTACTCCTGGAGGGTCATGGGAGGTGGGTCGCTTTATTCGCTTGCTTTCCTCTGGCTCTACTCGCTTTAAGAATTATTCTTATTGTAGTTATTCTCGAATCTCGATAGATATGGAAGCGAGGAACGACCCATCACTCCAAGTTTCCCCCAGCAACACCAAGGTACAAGTACTAGCCTTAGGTTCGAGGCCTTGACATACAGATCGTCGCTCAGAAGAGCAGTGGGATCCGGCGTCCCAGGGATGATTTCCGGAACGTAAGTCGTCAAAAGTCTTGGAAATTTCAGACGCTTGTCCAAGAGCTGCAACAGGGAGATCCACGTTTGCCCTATGATCCACATCCTTGCTTTCACCGGCTCTACGGGGTCCGTACCCTAATTATTGTCGTAAGTAGAAGATAGGGGATGAAGATGCTTGACATGTAGTAATATCACGCAAAGGTGGAAATAAACCAGATCTTCAGGGAATATCCAGACTAAAGAGTCGAATCAGTATGAAGCTGGTCCATAAAAAATAAGGTAAAGAAACGTCGGTGCACCATAACATCAAGTACAAATAACATGTTGTTGAACAAGGAGCCGAACAAGGTGACTGAAATCAAAAATGTGTTTATGTTAATTTTTGTCCCACTTATATATAATATATGCTGGTACTACTAGTTCTGGCAGCAGTACTAGCTACTACGAATACGAAAACGAATAAATTATTTTGCCAAAAAAATAGACCTGCACGACTGTGATTTACAATCAACATTAGAATTTAGAAGCGAAGTAAAGTACCGTGATTAAAAGAAAGGTGTTTGTAGCATCGCGTTCCCCGGTTATGTGAATTCCTGGTGGTATCCATTGTGCGTTCGGCAGTTTGGGGTCTAAGTACTCGTCTCCGTTCGCATGCGTTGCGGGAACATCGTTAATCCATCGTAGCGTGGTTTCGTATTGGTCTACGCAGTACTTAGCGGTACAAGTCTCACAATCATGATCATCTAGTGGAAGCAAGACGTTGGATGGGTGGTCTGACTCAATCGAAAAGGTCGTCAGTGCAAATCTTCTTTTTTCATCTTCTTCTGCACTCTGCGCTACAGCTATTGTTCCAACCCTCCTTTGAATTAATTGCTCAGACGTTACATCACTCGATAAAAGACATCGTACTCCACGTCCACTCACGAACAAATGATAGTTGTAGACTGGAGGTGGAGAAAAGACTGAAAAATGAATAACCTAGTAAAGCTAAACCTAATCCTATGCCTATATTCTACTTTTGTATATAAACTACCTAAAAAAGGCGACGTTTTCCATTTCCTCATATTAGTATTTGGAAAAGAAGAACCACTGTGCTACCATCCTTAAAGAACGTGAAGCGCGAAGCTGCCACATCGAGAGCAGGATCTTCGGTGGCTGGAACCGTGCTCGTATCAGGATACTGCCACCGGTTTGGAATCCATCCAGGATTGATCGGCATTTGAGTCGCATCCAACTATGACAGGAAAAAGTGTGTTCATCCTCAGAAAACTAGCTGTAGCTACTTTCCTACTCAAATCCGAGCTACTTTATTGAGTATGAGTACACTTTTTCCTGTCATATAAACCTGATCGAATTATCCACGACCGTCACGGGAGGCTCTATGTAAGGGGTACTACCCTTAGCACTACAGTCGTTATTCTCCCACAACAAGGTAAAATCGGTTTCGTTCACATATTCCCGAGGCAGCACGGATGAACGAGGAAGGAGAGGAGGGACCACCTAGTATAATTTCTATTTCTAATGTCGCGACCTGAAGTACTAATATTTCTACTAGTACTCTAGTGTTACTTCTCACTCTGCTGAGTAAGAGTCCACCACCTAGTAATAGCATATGTTCTACTGCCACTCAGAAACCTTTGTTTTCACATGATCTCTATACCACCTATAAGCCGTTTTCAGTTAAACTTCAGAAAACAGCCACTTCATCTAGTAGTTCTACTTACTTCGTTCTATTTAGTTCGCATGTTGTCATGGAGCTGCTCTTTCTCTATCTATTAGCAGGCTTCCCTGAAAACTGAGGACCATTGCACCCGTCCCTTGTCTGAGGAGTAGATGAACAAATGGCTTCGTTGTAGTAAAGATACTCTCCACCGATATTATAATCTAAGTCAAAGTTATTATGGTTGATCGAAGAAGAGGGATAGTCGTGATCCTCGTAACTTAATCGACGTTTCCACAGGTGGCGTGCCTTCTGTTGCAATCCACTTGCGCAACGCAAAAATTAGGTCGTCTTTGACCATGCCTCTTACGGCTGTGAAATCGTTTGTGTCGATGGTGTAATTCCCCTCGTAGATTGCTACCGCCTTACTCTTAGAAGGAGGACCAGTACATTGGTAGACGGAGTAGTGAACCATAATTGTAATGTAAATTCCAGCCACTTCTCCATACTAGATAGCTGTGTATATTACACAGTCCATCTACTCCATAGTACTAGATATCTGTGTTCATAATTACACACTTGTGTCTGTATGTAGTACTTTTGTCATTTGTGTTCTTTCATCATAGTACGTACAAGATTACATTTTATGTATTTCTTGCACAAGGTTAAGTGCCCAAGTGTAAAGTAGAGCCTCATGCAGTAGTTCAAGTTTGTTGTGGTTCCCTTGTTTGGTTTCTAATCAAAACCACGAACGAGAAGTAGAATTCAAATTGAACATGATGACTCAGGAAAATACGAGGCGGAGGTCTAGAAAACCCAAATCTTCACGTTATCGACGTATAAGAAGTGAGATAATTTTTACACATTTTTAGCCATAATACTGGGAGGCACGTATACCGAAGGTCGGGTCTGACCCGACACGAGCCACGGAACTTCGGTCCTTAGAGCTACCGGGTCGCATCTTCCTTGCGAGCCATATCCCTGGACACTTCTTTTCCCTTGAAAAAAAGGCCAAGAATGATGTTGAGGATGCTCGCTTGGTTGCCTTAATGTTCCTGGTGGTGGCGTTGTCGTTGTTATTATGGTGAACTGCGCCTCCGCAAAGATCGGTCCCGGGAACACAGATGGCAAGGAAGAGAACCAAGAAGAGGTGGAGGATAGCCGCGACGACTCGGAAGTTGGTGCGTCTTCTCTGTGCTGTGATGGCAAGGAAGAAAACCAAGAAGTCGGCACGTCCTCTCTCTGCCGGTCCCTTCTGGGGGAGTAGTTCTCGTTCGCCTTCTCTACTCTCCTCGTATCTGTCGACAAAGCCGTGCTAGTTTCAGGCCTTTCCGCAGGTTGACGCGTATTATTAGAAGATCACACCAGCTGCTTCACGAGCAAGGTCCGTTTCTTACCACAACTATCGTCCGAATACATTTCTAAGCAAATTTTTTAAAATTTGTTAGTGTACTCTGTTTTTGAAACTTGGAGAATCAAAGGAAAAGGCTCCGCTTGACGAGCTTGCACTAAAAGAACAAGAAAAAAACGGACTAGTACAAGCAGGCAGAGCAATCGCGTGTGTAGCTGCACCATGTCTGTCTAATATAGATCTTCGTCTAAGTATCCAAACTCTATCATGTGGAGCCGTAAAAGTCGCAGCATGGTCTGGCATATGCATATCTTGCGGCATGGCGTTGATGTCAAAATCTTCCTCGACCTCGTCCTCGGGATGGTATAAAGTTCTCTTCCGCGCAGGACCCACTTGATCATGAGCGTCGCCACGCAGAGGGTCATGATCGCTTCGAGGATGTCCTGACGATCGGATTATGTCGTCACCTCGACTACTTTCTGAATCTGATGAATCTATGTAACCGAGGCCGACCCATGGTGGGGCGTCCTCGTCACCTCCAGCTTCTGATTCTGTTGCTTTATTCGGTGTAATACTTTTCTTAGAGGTACAAAAAATAGGAAGGGCAGAGGGCATTTTTCGGGGTTCTTGACGGTTGGTGGGGTATAGGTTTTCAAGAAGAACCCTCCAACAAGAAAAGGAAAACCAAGAGACAGAGATACACTGTGTCCTTGTTTTCCATATGCATATCCTAGAAGTGGAAATAGAAATGATTTTGTATGTCTTCTTCCTGCAAAATTGAAATGATTTCCAATGCGGCTGCGCCTGCTCTTAATTCTCATATTGCCACCAGTTTCGTCTGATAGATCAGAAGGCTTCCTTGTTATGTCAAGCAATACAGACTCAGCTTTATCCAATCCACCTCAGATTTTAGAGGTACCGAAGAGAATATGCCTCGCGGGTGCGTGGTATCCGATACTGTTCTTTTATCCGTTTTCAAGTGGAAAATGTACTAGAGTTAAGTTCTTCTACATCGGTTATTTGTCAGGTGCAAAACCAACGCAATACAATAAAGTTTCTTTCATTTTCTTCATGTACTAGGAAAACAAAAAGTGCTGTAATTGCCAAGGATGACATTGATGAGAATCCATTTGCGGTTGCCTTAAGTGTAGTCCTCCAGCCTTCTTGCCTCATTCTCATCGCTTTTTCTCTTTCAGGTGTCATAGCATGTCTTTTTTTCCGTGTCCTCTTTTGTGCAGCGGATGTTGGATTCTGCTTTTGCAAATTCTTGTTCGTTTCACCTTGCCCTTGACCCTGAGAAGTCTTTCGACTAGCATCGATAGTTGATGGCTCGTCATTCACTGCTTTTCCTTGACCAGGTATTGTGCCATTAGCCAATGAGCGAGCTTGCTTTTCCTGGGAAGGCTCCCTTGGAGCATCTTCTTGAGCAGTCGGCCTTGAGGTGGCCGTGGGGAGCGAGGTGTCAATGCCTCCTTTTCCCGTCCATCCGGTTGTTATCTCGTCTGCAGTAGCAATAGCCTTTTTCGGAACAGCATCCTCCACGTCTAATATTCGTGCGTTGATATTATTTCCACCGTTAGCATTCCTACTTGGAGGCGGAGGCACTGTTTCTTCCGGAGTTCTGTTGCCAATGCTATCTTCTTCAGCGTGGTGGTGGTCTCGAGCAGACATAACATTTTGGGCCGCTTGATTTTCTTGATTATCATTCCTCTTTTCATCCTCTACAGGAACACTAAGCGCGTTTTTTTCTTTATTCACTGGTGATATTCCAACGCCGACAGTTTGTTCCACCTGGTCGAGAATTCTATCTTCATCTGCAGCAACATTCATCTCCTCTTCCCTTTCGCCGCTGGTACTAGTTTTTTGAGACGGAGGCGAGGGCTGCTCTACCTCATGGCCAGGCCGTAGTGGGGATGAATGCTCAGGGTGGTCTCGCCCACTGTCATTGTCCGCTTCCTCGTGCGACTCAGCAGTGGGCGTCTCCTCATCTGCTTCACTGACGCTTTCCTCTGCGTGTTCCTCTGCTGCAACAGCTCCTTCCGCCTCCCCCGCCGCTGCGCTTCTTCGACGCGGCCCCATGAATAATCTAGACGCTGCACCGTGAGCCCCAAAAAATTTTTGGTCAACATCTTGTAAATTCTGTCCTGTCCCTGCATCTCGTAATCGTGCAGCTTTTTTTCTCTGCGTATCGTTTTTCCTTCTCTTTTTGTCTTGTGGCCGTTTCTTCACCGAATGGGCAGAAAGAGAATAATCATTTCCTTTCTCGCCTACCATATCCCTATCCTCTTCCGCAGCACGATACTCAGCTTTTCCACCTTCCCCACGTGAGTCGACCACAGGACGGCCTAGAGCATTTACATCTGCGCCATCATCTGTATTGGTTTTGTCGAGAGGTACGCCCATCCCGTCTACACCGGGATGGGGACGCTCTCCTTCAACTTTCCATCCCCACGCAGACGTACTGGAGTCCGAATGTATTAGACCTTCCCTCTATTCATCTTAAAGTGCGTCTTCAAGCTCCATATTTCTTAAAGTGCGTAAGGTTGCCCCCTTGAACCTGCGTCAAAGATGCTTCTGAAGATGAATTCGTGGAAGCCTTAAGTGTACTTTGAAACCAGTACGATAACTCCTCCGTGGTATACCTATACCACCGCTCTCGTAGTTGTTTTTGTAGTTAGAGATACACTTATTTTATACAGGATATTCAGTATCTGTGGTCAAGTGAAGAATCCCAATGATCATGAGGTGGACCGAGGAATACCAAAGTGCTCTATATCTTCTGCAGTCAAACAATCTCGAGAGCCTTCTCAAACAATCTCGAGAGCCTTCTCAAACAAACAAAAATGAAGAATCCAAGTGATTTCTAGAGATGGGAATCCATTTCGGTTACGGATGGTCTTGTTCCAGCACGAAGAGGGACACTAGTCCATAGCCACACCTACACGACTGGTCGTGAGATAATGAATTAATGTTATGGCATGTCATGGAAGGAGCCTCCACCTCTTTGATAGCTCTTCGTGTCTATCTATGAGGCCTTTCAAATTCAATGTAGTAGAAGTAGTGCCTCCAATGGGGTGCATCTCATATATATTTATAAGTATGTTGCAGCTTAAGAACAAGATTGGACTCAGTACTTCGTGCACGACCTTTTTCACTTGCAGCTTGTGACGACCTTTGCAGATCCACGAAGAAGCCTCTGTTAAAAAAAACGCAGACAAGCGGCGCGAGCAATGCAACAACGACCAAAAGTTTCCGCAGCACCAGCAATGCGGATGTTGCTCGTCTCTTCTTCAACATGGTCAAAAGCTCGCCGACACGACCGGTCGTGTAGGCCTCCCTTGGGCTTGGTCCTGGTCCCTGACAAGAAGCAATCCTCCCTTTGGAGGTAATATTTGACGGATGAAGAACGTGATCAGTGCTTCACCTTGCAGAAAATGGAGTTCTTCTGCCTCGTACTGCGAACATGTGTTCCTTGGAGGTCTCCATGACGTAGTTGCTACTTGTAGCTTTGTTCGTTGTTGTCTCATGCATTTTCAGATCAGGACCTTGCCCTTCCACTTCTTTCTGTAACGCACTCTTCATTGTAGAACGCACTAGTGGTGGTGGAGCTGGAGCCTCTGCTCCAAAAGAATTATAGTGATATTCTCTCAGTGTAGTTCGAATTCGAATTGGCGGGTGGTCCTGTAGTCGTTCATCTATTTTAGAACAATATGAAGCTTGTTCCACCTCCTCTCCTCCTCCTGCAGCTTCTCCTGCAGATGGAATGTTAGACTCATTCACTCACTCATTCATTCATTGACGACCCACGCTTGAGAGCTAGCAAAGAACACATACACAAGTATCAATAGTGGTGGCCTACCGTAACTCGGATGAAACATCACTTCTGTGATCGAACTGGTCCTAGAAGTCCATTGGAGTTTTTGGTACTTATACCCATACCGCCACTCATGGGTTGGATCTTACGAAAAGAGAAAGGGGAGTTTACGGGGAGCCGGAGCGGCTCAGTTCAGTAATTCCTTTGTGACGGGACAACAGAATTGGAGCTCTCAGTTGGAGCGCCAGGTCCTGCTCCAAGTTGTTATTCTTACACTTACTCATTGGTACTCAATAAAACTCTAGAAGTTATTATTATACTCAAAGTACCTAAAAGCTCTAGAAGTTAAATTATACTCAAAGAACTTGATAGAATGGCCTTAATAAAAACAACGATTCTGGTGCTGAGTCTCGACGACCTCCGCGACAACTTTTAAGGTGAAATATTCCTCCTTCGGCGTCTCCCTTCCGTTTCGTTGGGAACCGAGTGGAAGTATCTTCAGTTGCGCAAGAGCATAGCTCAGGATATAGTCCACACCCAAGCCCTCGGCACTTTGAAGACAGTTGCGGTTGACTCGTCACAAACCAAGAACGTCGAGTTTTTACTTGATTTTCGAGTTCAGGTCGGAGACTCGCAGATGACGCAGAGAGCAGGCTTCATCTTACTTGTTATTCGGTCATAATGTGGATGTGCCCCTGCCTGCTTGTCAGTCGGTGGATCCACTGCAAAACAAAGGTGGCACAAGGACGACGAAAACCAACATCCTGATGGGCCGGGTAAATCAGCCAAAACGAAAACCATTCAAGAGCATTAATATAAGCTTGAAATGTAGTAGCCCGTCCACTCAGTGGCACAGGCGCTAGGTATTAAGCAGGACGAGACATATCAAAGTAGTGAGTCTGATCGCAGGAGAACTGATGTATCATACTTCTTCATCCGCAGCTAGCAACATAAATACTGTCACGACAATGTTGAGCATCAAGATCACGAAGAGGGATTTCTCACGCATCTTTCTCTCGGGCACTCCTCTCTGTAAACCCGTCGCCATTGCAGAGAGAAAGCCGGCGGCGCTTCGCTCAACATTACGATCCCGAATAATCATATCGCTCCTACAAAGTAAACATAAACAAGAGTTTATTGATGAAAACTTTTCACTCTGCAACAGAGGAAGATGAGAGGAATCGCTCACTGTCAGTGACTCACGCGGATGACGTCAAGCAATAATAATATAGGAACAAGGGGCCCCCCAGACTGAGAGCTGCAGCGACTGAGTGAGTGACAGCGCATTAGCTAGTTAGCGATGATGATCGTGAGGACATGAGGATACCCGACAATCGTTGCACTTGCAGCACTGGTTGTACAAATGAGGTCGAAAGAAATATCATCTGAAAAAGTTGTTGATATATGACATTACCTAATTAACTCACTTTCTTGCAGAGGAAGGAAGTACGACAACAGCTACAGCAGCGATAGAAGAGTAATCTTTCTCGCATTCTCATCGATCATTTTTTTTTCTAGAAATCCAAGATGTGCTTGAGCGAAATGCTGCCAAGGAAATTCAGAACTCTATCGCTACATCGGTCCATAAATATCAATCTATAAATATAGACCACTCTAGTTCTAGAGCTCAGTCCCATGGGAACAAGTCGCGGTAGCTGCGGACGTGCCATGTCTTCAGGAGACGTGCCACTTATGCCCAACAGCGGCGGGACTAAATGAAGCAAGTCCATTTAGTCAAATGCTCTGTCTAGGTCCGTTTTACGGGAAAATCCCACTTCTTGAGCACAAGAATTTTGTAGATGTATGCTCCCAGTCGTGAAGAACTTCGCGGCAACATGTGTTGCCTACGTGTTCGGCAGCAATGCATAGCTTGGTAGTCGTAGAAGAAGTAGCTGTAAATAATAGCTGAAAAGAGTATAGGTGGAAGTTCGTAGCTGTAGCACTGGTTTGGCCTAAACACGAGAAAGAACGCAGAGACAATGACACAAGCGCGACAGCGCTTGCTCCATTACTCAGATTGGGCCACGTCCCTTGCATTTAAGGCAGAGGCTTATGTAGTTCCAGTTGTAGCCAGTATCAGGTTGAGTATCTTCCACCCCTTGTCTTTCTCCTGTGTCACTTTTTCTACTACGACCTTCAAAACAAGTGGCGACTTCCTGCTCCATTATCCTTGCTAACCGCAAAGAAGTAGATAGCTGACTTCTTAATACGTTCACTTTCATCCTCGCATCTCGCCTCCTAAAATACTCACACAAGAATTGCCATCGTGTTCGTGATCAATACGATCATAATACACCCAAGCACACACTGCACGAAATGCCTACCCTACCTCCTACGAGTACGAAACATGCTGAGGGCGTCCTAAGTCCAAGTAAGTACTTTCCAACTCTTGCAGTCTGTCACATTTGCCTACTTCAACTACGAGAGTTTGAGTGAAGCAGCAAAGTGCTAAGGGTAACAAAATGGCGCGCTGGGTGCGGGTGGAAGAACTTCACTCATTGGGAACTTCGTCTACAGTGGGAACCCTCCAGTTGCTAGGAAAGCAACCACAGGATTACGCACATCGTGGTGGATATCTATTTATTTTCCGAAACATGAAAAATAATTATTCTGAACGCTGTTCGAACTCTGTTCCTCGTAAAAAAGTCTAGAAGTGTCAGCCTCTTTTTTGTATGCTGAGACCAACGAGGGGCGGCCCCAGAGTTACGAGCACGCAGTCCGGCCTCAGGATTCGAAGACGAGGAGGAGGAGGAGGAGGAGGAAGAGAGGAAAGACACGACAATTCAAATACCCAATTACTTTGCCATTTCCGCCCTTTGCATGTAAATTTTACATAGGACTACTACTACTACTTCTCAAACGTGCTCCCCCATCCCTATGCATATGAGAGACGTCTTCACTTGTAGGAGAAGATGAGACTGCAATGACAATAGAGGGCAATACTCCCGGGAGGCCGCACCTCCTGCGCTCATGTCTCTTCAGCGACTAGCCTTGTCACTAGTGAGGCCGGGCCATCTCTAACTATACCCTTCTAAATCTAACGACTCTGCAGCCCATACTATATTTAGCGAAGGAGAGAGCGCATAATCCTAACCGTGCCGACTACTCTGCACGTATTAGTCCCAAGATCGACGATAGCAACTGATTACGTGATTAGGCCGTGGCAAAGTACATTGATTAGAGCCCCTGGAAATACATAAGTAGTGACCCGATAACGACAGCCGTCGGAGAATGGACCAATGAATGTCAACCATATCAGAGAGGTTGTAAAACTTTTTCGCAAAAGTTTGCCTTTGCATCTCTTCATTATGACCAGCGCCCGCAATTATGAGCTTGAACCTACTTGCATACTATCCACACACGCGTGCTCCTATCCTGTGAGTGTGATGATTATACACAATATTTCATCTGCTACTACATTATATTTATACGATATATGGATATGCAGACTTTTTGAATTTCACACCCGAGCTCTAATCTGATTTCCCCGAGCTCTCCTCCGCCTCCTATACAACTGCTACAGTCAGAAAATCATGCGCATAGCGCGCAGACATCCAACGCGCAGACAAAACTCCGCTACAACGTGCTCAAGATCATCAAGAGAGGCTGATCAGTAACACCAACACGGCACCGCTTTAAGATACTTGCTGGCCAGCAAGCTAAGACTGCTACTAGTACTGTTCGCGATGATACACATTTCGTCATATCTCGGAAAAGTTGCGGGTACTCAAGCTACTAGTAGCACCGCCCTCGATGTAGCTAGTGATATAGATTGCCAGGCGTGAAGTAGTGAAGGCTGACAAGTTGCACTTAATCAGGAACAGCGTGATGCTGTTCATGATTATACGAATTTCCCCTTCTAAGGAGGCTCCCCCCTCCTCCAGCCACCCCTTCCCCTCGTCAGTTTCGAACATGTTGTAGCCCAATCGTCAACTACGTTGATGGGAGTGGTCCTTCTAAATAATTGAAGCGATCTAACGCCCCCTCTAGCAATGGACACAGAAAAAGACGAGGCAAGAATTAAAAAACTATTAACAAAAAAATAAAAAAAAAGTGACGAAGTAAGCCAGAACGCGCAGGCCATCTCACCTATGCGAAAAACCACGCTGGCCACTTCTATACGATATATTCACAAATCGCGCCTCGAGCTAGTAGAATCAACGTAGCAAGGCCCTGAAGCTCAAAGTCGCTCCTTGTTGTTTGTTGTGGCAACAAGTCGAAAAAAAAGACACGAAAAACATTGAGATGACAAGTAGTTACAGTCCCCATTCGCCGAGATATGTGACGAACTGTCCACCACCACCCGCCCAGCATTTCTATCTCTTTCAGCATTCTCATGCACATGCTGCAAGAGGATAAAAAGAAAGCAAGCTGCTCGAGCTCTGATAAATGCATTTTTTGTACAAATGACGTCGAAGGGATCCCATCTTGTTCTTGCGGTGGAAGTAAGTACGACAACAGGAGCAGCGATAGACGAATACTCTTAATACTCATATTCTCATCGATCATTTTTTTCAAAAAATTAGAGATGTGGATGGACGAAATGCAGCCAAGGAAATTCAGAACTCTATCTCTACGTCAGTCCATAAATATTCATATAGACCACTCTAGTTGTAGGGCTAGAGCTCAGTCCCATGGGAACAAGTCGTGGCAGCTGCGGACGTGCCATGTCTTCAGGAGACGCATCACATATGCCCAACAGCGGAAGCAGGACTAAATGAAGCAAGTCCATTTAGTCAAATGCTCTGTCTAGGTCCGTTTTACGGGAATAAATATCCCACTTCTTGAGCACGACAAGAATTCTTTTGGATGTATGCTCCCAGTCGTGAAGAACTTCGCGGCAACATGTGTAGCCTACGTGTTCAGCAGCAATGCATAGCTTGGTAGTCGTAGAAGAAGTAGCTGTAACACTCAGAGTATTTTAGTTGAAAGGAGTATAGGTGGAAGTTCGTAGCTGTAGCACTGGTTTGGCCTAAACACGAGAAAGAATGTAGAGACAATGACACAAGCGCAACAGTGCCTGCTCCATTACTCAGATTGGGCAAACGTCCCTTGTATTTAAGGCTCGCGAGGCTTATGTAATTTCATTTGTAGCCAGTATCAATTAGGCCTAGTATCTTGTTCCCCTTGGCCATCTGTACCTTCAAAACAAGTGGCGACCCCTTCCATTAATAATGTCCTCAAGGAAGTAGATAATTGACTTCTTAATCCGTTCGCTTTCATCTTCGCGTCTCGCCTCCTAAAATACTCCACCTACAGTTACCACCTTCAGTACGATTATTATATATAATACACCCAATTACAGACTACGCGAAGTACCTCTCCTACCTCCTACGAAACATGCTGAGGGTGTCCGAATTCCAAGTAAGTACTTTCCAACTCTTGCAGCCTGTCGTGTTTGCTTACTTCAACTCAGGGAGTTTGAGTCAGGCAGCAAACTGGTAAGAGTAAAAAAGTGGGACGCTGGGTGCGGGTGGAAGGGCTTCACTCATTGGGAACTTCATCTACAGTGGGCATCTTTGTTCTTTGTTCTTTCAAAAAATAAAAAAGTAGCCTCTTCGTCGTTCGAACTCTGTTCGTAAAAAAATTCCAAAATGTCGAGAGGTGTCAGCCTTCTTTTTGTATGCCAAGACCAACAAGGGGTGGCCCCAGAGTTACCGGCACGCAGTCCGGCCTCAGGATTTGAAGACGAGGAGGAGGAGGAGGAGGAAGAGAGGAAAGACACGACAATTCAAATACTCAATTACTTTGCCATTTCCGCCCTTTATATGTAAATTTTACATAGGACGACTACTACTTCTCAAACGTGCTCCCCCATCCCTATGCATATGAGAGACGTATTCACTTGTAGGAGAAGATGAGACTGCAATGACAATAGAGGGCACTACCCCCGGGAGGCCGCACCTCCTGCGCTCATGTCCCTTCAGCGACGCGCCTTGTCACTAGTGAGGCCGGGCCATGTCTATCCCCTTCTAATCTTGTGTAGCCCTATAATATCTTTAGCGAAGGTCAGAGCACATAATCCTAACCATGCCGACTATTCTGCACGTATCAATACCCCCAAGACCAATGATAGCAAATGAGTGCATGACTATGTCGTGGCAAAGTGCATACTTAGATTGGAGCCCCTTGAAATACATAATGACCCGAGAACGACAGTCGTCGGTGGATGGACAAATTATGTCAATCATATTAAAAAGGTTGCAAAACTTTTTCGCAAAAGTTTACCTTCACATCTCTTTAATATGACCAAACCCCGCAGTTATGGGCTTATGAGCTTGAACCTGCTTGCATATAATCCACACACGCGTGCTCCTGTCCTGTGAGTGTGATGATTATACACAATATTTCATTTTCTGCTACTACATCATTATTTATACGATTATATATGGATATGCAGACTTTTTCAATTTCACGCCCGAGCTCTACTCTGATTTCCCTGAGCTCTCCTCCGCCTCCTATACAACTGTTCAGTCAGGATATTATGTGCATAGCGCAAAGATATTCAACGAAAATACAGAACTTCGCGACATCACAGTGCTCAAGATCATCAAGAAAAGCTGACCAGTACCACCAACACGGCACCGCTTCAAGATATTTACTGGCTAGCAAGCTAGGACTGCTACTGGTACTGTTCGTGATGATACACATCCCGTGAAATCTCATGAAAGTCGTGGGCACGGCACAAATCAAGCTAGTAGCAGTGCCAGTACTGTCCTCGGTGTAGCTAATGATACAGATTTCCAGATGTGAGGTAGTGAAGGCCGACGAGTTGAACTTAATCAGGCCCAGTGTAGTACTGTTCATGATCATACGGATTTCCTCTCCTAAGAAGGCTCCCCCCTCCTCCAACCACCCCTTCACCTCGTCAGTTTCGAACATGTTGTCGCCCACTCGTCAACTTCGTTGATGGGAGTGGGCCTGTTAAAAAATTGAAGAGATCTAACGCCCCCTCTGTAGCGATGGATACAGAAAAAGACGAGGCAAGAACTAAAAATAAATATTAACAAAAAAATGAAAAAAAGTGACGAAGTAAGCCAGAACGCGCGGGCCATCTCATCTATGCGAAAAATCACGCTGGCCACTTCTATGCGATATATTCACCAATCACGCCTCGAGCTAGTCGAATCAACGTAGCAAGGCCCTGAAGCTCAACGTCGCGTCTTGTTGTTTGTTGTGGCAACAAGTCGCAAAAAAAAGACACGGAAATAATTGAGATGACCTCGTCAATTTCGAACATGTTGAGCTGTAGCTCACTCACAACTACGCTGATGTGAGTGATTGATCTAAAAAATTGAAGACAACTAGCGCCACCGCTGTAGCAATGAATACAGAAAAAGATGAGGCAAGAGTTAGAGTTAAAAATATTAACAAAAAAAAAAGATTACGAAGTGAGCCAGCAGAACGCGCTGACCACTTCATCTACCCGAAAGATTATGCCCTGGTGGCCACTTCTATACGATAAGTTAATCGCTCGCGCCTCGAGCTAGAATCACTGTAGCATGGTCCTAAAATTCACGAGTGCCGCAATGTCGATCCTTGTTGTTCGTTGTGACAACAAGTCGCAAAAGAAAAAAGCGAAGATATACAACTCAGCCATACTGCTGATTATTGATATTATTGGGAAATGAAAACTCCTTAATAAATGCGCAGAACAAGTACGTGAGTGCGGGTTCTGAATCGATGAGGGCACTTTTGGCAAATCTTTTTAGTCGAACTGGGAAACTCGAACAAGAATACTAGACTTCTTCTTCTTGCTGTTGCTTTTACAATTCTACTACTTTTTGACGCCTGCACGTCTTTGCAATACTTGAGAAATGTGGACTTTGACGTCGATGCTGAACCAGCCCCCACCAGCATCAGTCTCTCAGATTATATGGGAACTAAGATTGATGGGAAAACGTCGAAGGAAAAACAAAAAGTAACTGGTTACTTTTCTTCGGGTGCTTTAAGCGTCGCTGAGCTTACGCTTCGACCTCTACCTTATAAAAAGGTAGAGGCCAATCGCAGCACGCCTCGACTTCGGCAACACGTGAACAAGGGGAAGGGGGAACCTTCAAAAAGAATCCTGTTACAGGTGGAGGTAGTTACTTCATCACTAATCAGGTGCTTTGTTGTTAATTCAACTACCTTAATGTAAGTAACTCCAGTTTTTAGATGTATATGATGAGAATGTGAGTCGAGTTGAGAACTGACCATCAAGAACAACCTTGAGGCAATTGCTCAAACCTGACCTAGTGAGAAACACCTACAATAATGATGAGTTGACTAGACGGTGTTTAACAAGATGACCAACAAACTAAGTTAGGGCCTTTTCATCCTGTCCATGTGTCAGGACAGGCATGCGTGCTGTTGTCCCTGTTCGTTGCCATCGTTCATGATGACCGTAGAGACTTGGTCTGACAGTATTTCTATGTTGATACTGGCAGCGCTCGACAAACAAAAGTGCAGGGACCTAATTAAAACCTTTGATTGCGTACAAAGATGATGGCACTTCCTGTAGGAGCTCCCGGAGTTCCCCATTACTCCGACACTTACAGTCATAATAAGCATGGAAAAATATAATGTCTTTTGTGTTTTTTGACGTACCCTGCAGATCCATACCTTTATAAGGTGATGTAAGTTCATAGTCAACTATCTTGTGGGCTTGGCAGACAGCGCAGGCATACCACATACTGGACGAGCCTCCTTCAGCGTGCCATATGCCCTTTTCGTTGTGCTTGTTTAATAATTTGCCACCACACCTACTTGGCAATAGGTATGATGAGATATCGCGGAGCCAGCCTTTGTAGTCTACAAACCGTAAGTCATGAGGGTTGCTACGGATCGAGAATGCCAAAGAAAAAGACGCCGGAGCCCACCTGACTGTGCTACTCTCTTTCAAGCAATCTGCTTTGAAACACTACACGATTGGGACCGGCTTCATCAGGTTGGCTTCGGCACTTTTTCAACGATTCTTATTCTCGATCAGTATCAGTGGAAGCATAATTATCATTGAGACACTGCCTCTTGTCAATACGGAATGAGAACCCGTCGGTGGAGTCGCTGTTCTCAGCTGTTACTTCAAGGAAGCTCGCGTCTTTCGTCTCCACATCGACATCCGCTAGATTGAGGATTAGACATATAGTATTAAAGTTGTAACCCAGATGTACGTGATTTTTGATCATGAGCAAGTCCAGCAAGTGGTGAATGGAGTAGACTTCAAAAGGCCAGCCGGACTACTTGCTCTTGCTGCAGATAGAACCATACACCATCAAAAGAGAATGCCTTTCTAGAAAAGTGGCCTAAACATCTACCTTATCACTCCTAAGCATAAGCATTTTCCCTTGGGGGAGGCATTTGTATTCTATGGAGGTGCGACATTTTCCATTTATTGTAAAGACATTTTCATTTGTAAAGGCAACACAAATTTTACCCCTACACACATTCCCAGCTCAACATACGGCTGAGATTGATGCCCGTCTCATGCTGCAGAGTTACTCGAGGTCGAGCTCGAGACCGACAAAAATGCCACTATTCATATATGTAGGTAAGTACATTTACAAAGGTAGAACCACACACAACCGTTAGTACACAGATCTACAGGAACACATCAATGCCAATGCGAATGTCCTCTTCAGCAATAGGGAGAGCAATAGGTTGAAAATAATCAATGAAACCAATCATAAGAACGATGTTTGGTTTTGTCCCAATAAGGAGTTCGTTCCTCGAAGGTTCCCTCTCTTCTGGCCTTTCTCATTCTCCAAAGCAAAAACCTGCAGGCCTTCCCACAGCTGCGCCAGTACGATGAAGTTGAAAAAGGTGGCCCCCAGGATGAAATTCGCGAGAGCGATCAGAAAAACGAGGGGAAGCCCCATCAATTTCATCATGATTGCAATTCTTGTTCACGATGACGATGCAACGTCGTGGCCGAAGGAGATGGATGTAGATAGGTGTAGTTCTTGTGGTGAAGATATGAAGCCAAAACAGCACCTGCCTCAAGATAATCCACGGGAGGTGGATGTGGTATCAGCCCAATTACTTATATGTTGTCTTCCACAGAAGATACATAAATGAGAAAAGGCGGAAGATGGAACAGAGGAGATATCAAACTCGGTGCAAAAACTTGGAAGGGAAAGCGTTACTTTTAGTTTTACCTCTCTGTCTCTCTTGGATTAAAAATTGCAATCCTACGTTGGAAATCATTGGGATGTTGAAGGCATTTCGTTATCCAGATCCGACACAACTTTTGCTCCTTTCATAAGCAAGATAAACATGATCGCTGAAAGAGTTTCTTTTACTCTCCAATTCAATGCAGAAATGGGGTATGGACGGAGTTCAGAAACAAGAAGGTGGGGCGATTTTGGAGGTGTGACTACGAATGGTAGCTTACAAGCAGAACGATGACCACGACACAACTTGTACAGAAGGATGATTGACGATTGAAGCACACTATACGACCGAACTTCCTGCATAACCGCGTCCACGAGATTACCTACCGATTAGAATATTCGATCCGATGTGACGACGACGAGCTACTAGAGGACATACAAAGACCGAACTCCGGAAATGGCATTTCGTCGACTCTACTACATAAGTGCAAAACGGCAGAAACCGACTCAACAGTAAGCGTCTTCATCTTTGTTATCAGCATACTTGTCCTCGTGTTCGTGAAATTTCGCCAAAAGTGGACATGGAGAACACAAAAACAGATTTAGACTTACATAGATGAAGGCCGAAGGTCAACGTCAAAACCAATTGAATCCAGTGCACGCATAGTGCAAGATTCTTCTCTTTACTTTTACTTTTCCAAGTGTTCTAAAATGTCAGTTTTTGTCACCTCAGGGACACAGCACTTAACGGCAACCGGAGATAATCAACGTGTTGCTCCAGTGGTGCCCACCGACTTCTACTCTGAATCGTTTATGTAAATGTGGAAGCTTGTAGTGTTAAAGATAAGATGAAGAACGACAACATGAAAAAAGTTCTACTTCCACTAGCACGCATACATGAGTGCTCGCGTGAAGTCTACTGGGGCTGCGTAATTCTCGAATCCACGATCACGCCATGGTGTGAGCGGCAGCTTCCTTCTCAATCAAGATCGCTTCATCCAAAACCAGAGCATACGGAATCGTCACAGATGCTAGATCGTATGATTGCGGAAGCACGGATAACACAAAGTCACAGCACATCCTCGTCGGAGACACCAGTGCCAGTCGTGCGTCCCCGTGCCGTCGCATATCTTCGGAAGCAGTGTCATTTTGTAGACATTAACGCATAGGTATACGTTAAAGGAAAAGGCGTTGCTCTCTTGTTCATCTTTGCATCGCTTTCTGAGCATTCCTCGCGCTTATTTTGTCAGTGAATGCAGCTGCAAGTCTTTCGCTCAAATTCGCGCTTTGTTGCTTTGCAAACCGTTTCTCTTCTTCGGGAAGGAGGCCATAGGTCTTTTTGCTCTCCAAGTGCCGCGCCATTGTATCCCGTTCGGGCGTACGGTTCACGGTCTGGTAGGACTGATGCTTAGAGGTAGTTGTATCCGAGAATCACTGTTCATTTCACTAGAGTTGTGAGTTGCTTCCTTTCCCCGTGGTTTCCTCTTGAAATGTTCCAGGAGAGCAGACCCAACGACCCCCAGAATTAGGATACGATTATAATCAATATGTGGTTAGGCAAGATGATGAAGATGAAGATCATCCTCAGGACAGATCATCATCATGGTCAGGCGCGATGATCATGAACATGATCGACTAACTCGCAGGTGGTCATATCTCATATGGGATAAAAATGATCGACTGCCCTTTAAGTCTCATGATTCTTAAGATACAACGCTTTGCCAATGAAATCTTCCTGCTCGTCCCAGCTGGGCCACCGCTTTACTGTGAGGGAGTACGTGCGCGGAACTAGATCGCTTTGCCTGGGACATATTTTTATCATCCTTTTCTGCACGCCGTGAATCGCAGCAGCTTTCTCGTGCAAAGTCGAGGCGTCTTCGTTCTGATTCAAGGTCATTGTTGAAGGCGATGACGATGAGGAGGAGGATGATGAGGAGGATGATGCTAGGGCTTATCTTGCCAATTTCGGACTGAAATTCCCAATCCTCGAAAAAATGGTTTTTTATCGCCCAGCCATTCAATTTAATATTCAGTGAGACAGTGTTAATCTCATTCAATTGCAATTGCATCTGCTAACGACAACCATAGTCTGAAACTAATACTTTGATATCAGCAATGCCAATGTAAAACGTGTACCTTGGGGTCAGTAGTTAGTCTTAGTTGAAACTTATCTATTAGATACTTGTAGCAGTATCTATTCTAGTAGAAAACCAAGTATCTTCATTAGTAGTCGTAGAACGTCGAGTATCATTCTAGTAGTATAACTCTAGACTTACTAGCCATTATAGGCATAGTAGTATAAGAAGGATTCTCCTACCTATAGAATTAAGGTAATTCGGTGTTAGTTGCAGTTCTAACACTGGCATTATCATAGAACCAGGTGTAGTAGGTTGATGGTGAAGATGATTCTAGAATCTCAAAATCTTTCAAATTTGAAATGTCCAATCCTCGAAAAATAGGTTTTTTATCGCCCAAAAATTATCATTCAATCGATTCTTCCATCATTGGCCATAAGCTATGATGAGGATGTGGGTGATGAGAGTGACGAAGCAAACTTTTAAGCATGACGCATGGCCGTGACACTAATCAGCACGAGAGTGCGCGCTTTTTATCGCGCTCACAATGAATACAGACAAACTCGACGTGAAGTTGATTTGATCATTCAACATAGACACTAGTGATATTGGTGTACCGTGTATTAGTCATGATGATGATCATAAGTAATAGTTTTACTTAGACGAGGTAGGTCGTGGGGGTGGTAGCTACTGCGTAAGATCACATCAATCCATGATGGTTCTCCGCGTGCTGAGAGAGTCTATCAATAGCAAAGCGACGCACTTAAAGAAAGAATGCGACTCACCGTAATCGGTTGTCGTAGTTGGCTCTAGTTCATCATTGTCGTTAAAGATAAGTATCTACTTGTACTTCTACTTCTACACACCTTTAGTTCATCAACATTGAAGATATTGAGGAGTATCTATTTCCACTATTAACTTGTCTTAGGTCTAAATCTACGATAAGAATACTTAGGGCAAGAACATCAAAATTAATACTAAAACTAAGGTCAGTAGGCATACTTATAAATATGATGTGAATACGTCTCCCGCTTGTTTCGTCGGATTGAAGAGCATTTTCATGCGACCCCCGAACGTATCGGATGCAAATTGGACTTGATTTCGCATGTTGTACACTGCATCCCACAGGATCTGTCCTGCCGTCTTATCCTCCAGTGTTACGTGGATGTAGGGTCGACGCAGCACTTCGGACACGTCCACCCTTTGGCTGAGTTTAACCCACGGATGTTTAGGCTCCTCGGCGAGCGATGTTGACAACACGCTTTTTCCTAGGCCAGGCTTCATTAGACTTACGCTTACGCGATGAAGATCTTCCAGCGTACAATGGCAATAGTTCCTTCTCCGTTCAATAAGATGCAACATCCTGTTCCCCACCCTGTGGTTATTTGGGAACTATATTCGTTCCAGGGCTCAGGGCTGAAGGCCCCCCCGATCTAAATTTTTGAGAGTGACGGAGGGGCCTCCCTCCCTGGTTGTACATACTTATATAACAAAGTCGCAGGTCGAAACATCTGCTACTGTACTTTCTATTTTTCTGTACCAACTACATGTCACAATCAGCTTTACTCTTACTGGTGGTCCTCTTAAAAGTGTCAAAGTTTGTATATGTATTTGTAGCCCTTAATAACTGGAGTCCTTCCATCATTTTTTTCGTTTTATTCTCGGTAACCAGGTTGGTGGCTAGACCCGCGCCACCGCCTCCGGTACTCGGTGGAAAAGAATGAAAAGTGAAAAAGGAAGAAAAGCTTGGAACAAACTGTGAGGACTATGTTTAGGTACTTATCTGCAACATCTGCTTCATTCTTGTTGGTAAACTATTTTCATACTTACTGGCACGATAGAATGAACGACTATCAATGCCGATACACAGGATTTGCTCGACTTCAAGAACCTCTACGTCTACACCTCCAATATGTGCTCGTGCTGCTTGTTCATCTACTTACAGCACGTAGTGAGCAGAAGGTTAGGTTGCGGATGCCGTGCATGTGGACAGGGCTACACAGCGACTGCACCATACGAGATAATAGTAAGACTTGTCAAGGAGACGCACAAGCATTCTATTCAACTAGGATAGAATAACTGGTCACTCGAGGCAGGGAGAACGCAGACCTATTATAACATATGTCATTCGTCCTCATCAAACAAAAGATCAGACTTCTCGACGGTCTCCAAAAAGTGAACAGAAATCGACGGTTGCCAACATACCTTACAAGTCGCGGGTTGAGTCGGTAATAGTAGAGACTAAACAATTTGTTGAACTGCTTCAGTTCTCGCTGTTTTTGACGCAGCGCGCGTAGCGCCAGATCCCTCTGCTTTCGGGACGTTGGCACCGTCTGGGGATGCGGCGCTTCGAAGAGGTCCCGTCCGTTGAGCGCGGTCTTAGCGAACACGTGACGAAAGACGCGCCACCTCCGGGGATTCAGCTTCGGACCCAGAAACTTGTCGTACACGGAATGCCCTGCGCCGTGCACTATACGGCCTAAGTCTCGCGCCCAGCCTAAGGGTTTGCTCAGCTTCGAGATCCCAGATTTCACGACACTCGCAGACGCTTTGGCATACCCTCTGCTGTTGGAACTGGAAACAGCGGAAGCGTCGTCTCTGCTTCCATCGCCATTCTCGTCCTTCACTGTCGCAGCAGATGCAATATCTGGCTTTTCTTCCGCGCCATCATTGAGTGCATGGCCATAGGCGGACAAGAATTAGAGGAGACGAACCTGCTCTGATGAAGCTGTTGTCACGACATACACATAGTGATACGAGTTGGTTCTACGAGGAAGAAGAACGAATTGAACACCCCGAAAAGAATGTCCATCTCCATCATGCTTTGCAGGATAATTTTGAAGCGTCATTGATCTTCGTCTTCTATAGCCATGTTGCCTTCTATAGCCATTATCACACCGTTGCTGCATTAGTCATCTAGTACCAACTAACTTCTACACAAGTAATATTTCACTATGACCATCATCTTCATCATACGAAAACTCATAAAAAAAAGAGTTCTTACGACGCCAGTGCCAGTATTCGAGAGCTTCTCGCATGATCCAATGCATTATCCTGGACTTGAAAGGAACCACACTCAGCCCTTTTCCCACTTCGTTTTCACTACCTGGATCTCCCGTATATTAGACAGAGCCACCGCATTCTTGGGGGCATTGAAGATACGATCCTTGAAGATTCACCTCCGAGTCCGAGGATCGTTTTCGTTTTTACTTATTTCATGTCCAAGAAGTTGAGGTATGTTAAATGTTATAAAAAACTAGAACGACTTCGAGATCAAGTACTAGTTAGAGAAAGGGTCAAGGATAGCGATCTTTTCCGGTTGCCTTAAGGATAGGTCGATAAGCGCCAGAGCATGGAGGTATTCTTCTCCGGATCTTTGCGAAGTGGGGTAAAAAGCATGGGACCCGGATAGTTTTGACGTGTCTTCACACTGTCAAAGTTGTGGCGAGAACAAACGAAGTCTTCGAGGTTCGAACCTTCAAAGGCGCCGCTGCGATACAATTCGACGACGTGAGGCCGAAACTGAATATCCTCGATGCCGTACCGGGTCGGAGCCGGCGTCATCTCGTCCAGGTACGGAAAATTCTGAAACTCCTTTGCTGCCGCATCGGACGCCGATGACTTTGAAGACCCTGCTGTGATGCATTAGAAGAGAATGAGAACTAGAAATAGAACAAATGTGCAGTGCTACTTTTTTATACATTCATAACATGTTTATTACTGTCTCCCCGTCATGCCATTTGTTCGGCCCTTCGCCCTTCTCTTCTGAATATTCACAGTCTATTTCAATCAATCATGGGAACAGATACAGGGCTTCTTCGTCGAGAAGATGTTGCTGTTGGCCGCGCTCCTGTGAAAGATGAAGCAAAGCTGACTATAATCGAGAAGATGTTGTTGTTGGCCGCACTGTGAAAGATGAATCAAAGCTGACTATGCATAATATAGCAAGCTTTGCTTCATTATGGCAAGAGCTGCTGCCAAGGCGTCACTTACTTTAATCATACGAGAGGCAAGGGCCTTAGTTGTCTACCAAACGAAAACACACGCCCACCCACGAGCGCAACCCTATCTGGGGAATAGCTCCCCTCCTAAGGGTTACGCGTCGTTTCCGAACAAGTTGGCACATGGGGGGGGATATGGAAAGCACATGGCAGCTGTGAAAGATGAATCAAAGCTGACTATAATATGGTCCATAAATAACTTTCTTGAGTGATTTTCCACCGGCGTACTGCTCTGCAGTGGGCAAAGCTGACCGCTGGTGGTTCCATGGATTGACGCCGCCGGTCCATGCTTGGCGCACGTCCATGCGCAAAGCGTCAGACGGCGCTTGTCCATTGAGCACGGTTTCCAAGCGGTCATCTGCAGAAACACCCCCAATGTCTTCAGCTCCATCTCCGCCTCCGCCAGTCGTCTTTCCGAGAAAATACTCGTCCCAATTGTCAATTGCGTGTTTCAGCGGCTCTTCGTTCTTTGCTGGGCGAAGACTATTGTGCACCACTTGATGGACGTCTTCTACCGGAGGTCCTACGTAGATGAAAGCGGTAGTTCTTGCAGCCGCGATGCCAACAGTCGCAGTCCTAATATGTCTATGATGATCGTGGTCATCGTAGAACTGGGACTGCTGCATTTTCTGGGAAGACGAAACTGTGACGGATCCTCTCTCCCTTTTCTCCACAAAGTTCAAAACGTCCTGCACGCCGCACCATGATGGTCCTGAGTGCATCTTATCTGTTGATGTTGTTCCCGAGAAAGATACTTGAGGATGGTGGAGAAATAGCTCCGTGATTACAACAAGAACCCCAGCATTTGCAAAATTCTTCCTTTTACGGGTTGATAAAAGTTCTCTTGGTCGTCATGTCTTAGTAGATAAGTATTCATTTGCCACTGCCAACGTCTCCACGACCATCAAAAATTACATGCATGATCCAAACGTACAAAAAAACACATACGCACCTAGCGTTTTTCAACGAACAATGAGAAATCGTCAGCCTTTTGTTCGTAATATAATCATAACAGTGCACTGCAAATTACCGAAGAACGGAAATTTGGAGAAAGGCGGGGCGCGTCAGAGTACTAAGTAGGACGAAATCAACGAGTTCATAGCTTAGAAAAGCCTTCTGTCAGTCGTATGAGATCGAAATCCCAGTTCGAGAGTACCAGCAGACGAGTATCAGATGACGTGCTTGTTCACTTTCCAATCACTGAGCCCTGACTCATCGCATTCCAATCTACAACACAATGTATAATCATCTTCTCATGGTAGACGTTGCACGCTAGACCGATGCTTCGAACTTAGATCAAGCACGACACACAGATCTATTTTGGACGTTGCGGAGGCGTACTTGTGTGAATGCGGGTAAGTGTCGTGATCACCGATTTGCTAAGGAATTACCGAGCTCGACACTTGTTCCCGTGGACTTGACGTGGGATCGATTTCATGTTGCATTCAACAGACGTCTTGTTCACTCAGCCAACAACAGCGGTGCCAGTTTTCCAGTTTTGTCCCGGCGCTGCGCTACCTAGTAGTATCAGTGTATGCAACCAATTACTATTTAATCTTAATGATGTCAAAAAACACGCACTAAGATACGTTGCACTAAGATACGTTTCGCAGTAACGAAGAAGAACCGCGCAATTCTGTCAGTGACGGAAAAGACCTCAAGAGGGGAAATGATATTAAATCAAATTAGGAGCAGGGAGTGGTCGGAGCAGGAACGCGAACAACGTCCTGACTCTGGAAACTACAAAAGTATGGTACAGGAGGTCCTCTGGCTTTCTTCTATCAAGGCATAGTGAAACACGAGAAAAGAAGATGGGCACGAGAAAAGATGATCGGGCTGATTAGCGTGCTATTTCAAGTTCAAACTAGAACTACAACTGCACACGATTTCAAAAATTACAACTGCCTTTCTATTGAACGTCTGTACATTTTTTGACAAAGACGAACATATGAATATAGAAATTTTATGCGAAATACTTAACACTGGATGCTGTAGGGTCTCTGACCTGCGTTTGCCTGAGTCTGTCAACTGTGTTGACGACTTCCAAATATATCTAACTTGGTAGCGCTGGCTCTATCTGTATCTGTTAGAATGCCATCAAACACAAAAGTCTACTTCTCTTACTCAGAGGCAAATATGATGGGCCGCAGCATGTTGAGAACTTCTATCATGTTGAGTCATTGTATTTTTGAACACGAAAACACATCTACAACAGCTCTACTAACTTCTAGTTCGACCAGAAATAGAAATATGGTTTTTTTGATAAGTCCGGCATCAGAATGGACAACATAGAGTCAAGGCAGTGATTCACTGAAGCACCAGGCGCATGATTACACTTTTCCTCAAGGTAGGGGCAAACTTGCTCTAAGTTCCTCTTTCGCCCGCCACCGGTGGAACGTCTGAGAGACAAAGCCTCGTAGCATGCCGTCAATCTCATACGGTGCCATCTCACTATAATTAGCAACTGCGGAATGAGAAATCCATCTTGGTCAGCATCCATCTTGCTGCCCGTTGTCACTTCAAAACGGGAGCAAGATGCAACGGGGGAAGATGGATTTCCTCAAGGCTGCAAAATCGCGAAGCGAGTATCAACAAGTTTCAGACTCCATTTATTATTCATTTCCTTTCCCAAGATGGGTTTCCTCAATGCTGGAGAATGGTTTTCCTTTACGTACTATTTTTCATTTTCTTCAGGCCATAATATAAGTTAGATGCTCAGCAGTAGCGGGAGGGGCTCCCGTTAGACTTTCTACGAACCTTTTCCGCAGGACAGAAACCAATAGAGGCTCGACAACTTTCCAGACGTCTAAGACGGACCAACCTCTCTCTCTCGTCTCCGCCTGAAGATCGTCCTCTACTATGACAGGAAAAAGTGTGCTCATACTCAATAAATCATAGCTAGGATTTAAAGAGGAAAGTAGCTAATTTTCTGAGGGGGAGAGCACTTTTTCGTGTCATATCTACTTGCTGCTGTTTATCTCGTTGAATATCTTGCTGTCCTCCTTGTTGTTGGGCTCCTACGCTTGATGAAGTTCGGTCGACGTCGTGAAGAGACTCTTTAGAAGTGGTTGTTGTTGCTGGATAACAAGACGGGTAAGGAGGGGCCTCGACTGCAGGATCCAAATTCGACTTCTCTATGCCTCCTAAAGCTAGGGCTGCTGCTTCTCGATTTCGCTCCCCGATGTCTAGTCGGGGAACTAGTGAGTCTAGTGGCGAAGAGCAAAAGTACGGTCCTCCGACTTCTTGTGTTTGGGAGGTTTGCGGCCGAACGGTTTGAGTTTCTGGCCCTTCATGGTAGTTGAGTATGCGTTCACCGTTACCGCCAGCAGAGAAATTTTGCGCTTGCTCAGAGCACCAGTCGAAGAAGCGATGCAAAACTAGACGAAGAGCTGCAGCGTCACCGAAAAACAAATAATTAGAGGTAGGGTTTCGGTGTTCGCGATGCATTGCTTACCCCGTTTTTTTTGATACTTTTGCATTTCCATTTCTTGCTCTCCCTACTTAGAGAGGAGAGGCAAGAAAACTAACAGCAACAAGAAGAGGATGAAGTGGAATAAAGTCACGACCCTTAAGGTAGATATTCGAGATGTAGTTCTGTGCCCTCAAATGAAGCTTCTCTGCGTCCAACGCGCGTTGTACGAAATACGCAACAAACGCAATGCTTTCCCGATCGAGGCAGCTTAGACCTTTCCCCAATTCATCACTGTGGAAATCCCTCAGGCATATGCGTCAGCATCTCGAATGTACTGGGGTGCATATGCTTGAGGGATGTCTATCGAGAAGATGGATTCGGGGAAGCCTTAAAAAATCTTCCTCGCTCAAATATTGACACTCTTTTTCTAGATACTGCTCTTGATACTGTTGCTCCTGCTCTTGAACTTGATTCACCTCATCAGCTCGTGCTGCACCACCTTGTTGTAGTTTCCTCGTCGCCTGGGGTTGTTGTTGTTCAGCAGGAGTACCAGTACAGTCATTACGTGATGTTGTACCAGCGCAATGAATGATCGATGACGAAGACGGCCCGCCAATAGGAGCTTGTGTTGCTATATTACCTTTACCTCCTCCGGTGCAACATGTAGAGGTTGTCTCACTTTCATCTGGTGCACCTCCTAGGGTAGACGCTGGCTTCGAAGTTGCGCCAGCTGCGGAAGGTGGAAGCGCCGCGACCGCGGCAACAGCAGCTGCGGCGAATGTCGCCGTACCCCGTATCGAACCAGATGAGGCTCCTCCTCCTCCTATCGTCGAAGACCGGTGGCGCTCTCTTTCCACGCCGCGTGCTACAACTGGTTTGCTCGAAGATCTGCTCTCTTTGCTTTTCGAAGAGTCGCTTTCTCTTCGCACGAAGAACAATTACAGAGGTAGGAGCTTGGTGTCTCTGTTTGCCGTTTGCTATGCCTTTGCTCTCTCTTCTGTTAAGTAGAGCTTGCTAGAGACGAGGCAAGCAAACAAAAGGGGAGATCACCTGCTAAGGCCCACCCTTAAAGCAAGACCGTGTTCGACGTACCACGACCTTCGTGGTGCTCTTCCCAATCACCACGCGGTGAGGACGTCGTGGAGGCCCACTTGGGACCAAGGAACAGACTCGTGAGGAGCTCGCGTGCTAGTTTTAGCCATGTTGTCCCTGTCGTCGTTTTCATGTAGCGTCGCCTTCGCACTGCCTGCACTAAGCGTGTAGCCAAATCCTGAAACAAGTCCTGCTCTCTGCCCTTTGCGGTCGGACTAATGCGTGGCGGCGCCCGCTGATATCCATGGTCAGAGGGAACGGCTCCCGGCGGGATCTCGATCAGTATTCTCGTGGAATCCTTTCCCTTTGGAGCTGCTGGACCTGCTCCAAATAGTGTTGTACTCCATCTAGCACCAGAGAGTCTGTAGTTGCCCCAAGAAGTAGAGGCACTGGCGCAATCACTATCACCAGGACTAATAACATGAGTGGATGTAGTACCACCAGCAGGGGTTGCACTAGTACTACTACTTCTACTAGTACCTGATACACCTCCTGTACTTGTATTACTTGTTGTACTTGTTGTAGCACTTCTACTAGGAGGTCCTAATACCATCTTCCTCCCAATCATCGTAGTAGGCACACTACTGTTAGTTCTACCTGTACCTGGTACACCAGTCTGGCGCTCATCTAGTACACGTGCCATCCACTCTCGTATCCGTCCAAGCTTAGGCATCGGGTCGCGAAGAGCTTCTATACTAGCGAGTCTTTGCCAAGCAGCCCCTGCGTCACTGACTCGTATTGTATTTGAGGAGCTTCTTCTGCTGCTTGGTTGATGTTGATTGAATGCTTCCTCCACTCATTGAGAATGCCGACAAGGGTGGAATGTCGTTCCCCGTCTTTGGGCCCTTCTTATCTAGTTTTAGGTGGAACGACATCCCCCTATAGCTACTGAGGTTCTCAAAAATGAGTCGCATCATACAATGATATTGGTCACCTGCTGCACCTGCCGCGTGGTCATTTTGATGATAATTTTTTTGCGGTGGTGGAGATTGACCTTGACGTCCACCTGCACCTGCTTGTTCTCGTCGACGTTCCCCCCCTAATAACAAAAATGTGCTTGGTATTCTTGATAAACTTCTTCCGGTTGTGCTAGAGCTTATTGATCTTGTGCCACCTCCTACTTCGGTGCCTCGAGCATGACGGGTTGTAACTCGTACCACGATGTTGGTTCGTTCCAACATGGCTACCGCCTCTCTGACTATGCTTGAGACGACGACGTCTTCTTCCTCGAGAGACGAGCCGCCGACGGGCACCAGCTCTATGCTCGAACCAGCAACCGATGCAGGAGGAGCCCCGGGAGTCGAAAGAGTCGTGGACGGTCTTGAAGATCCTGCTGCACGTGCACCACAAAAGAAAGGCTATTAGAAGATATCAAATATCGTAGATCGATGTAGGAGCTGCTCTAGTTGCACAATTTTCAACATCATATCTTAATAAGGTCCTCCTCGTTTTATTTACTCAACATGTTCAATGTTGATCATTACCTATCAGGAACAACATCGGCTGACTAAGAAAAGAGACGCGTCTCGACGCCTTTTTTCGCTAGTCTCGCTCTGCTATTCTCCAGCAACATAACCTCTCTGCCCAGATTCGTCTGTTGGCGAGGCGTCGCAACCTCCTCTAGTCCCAGGAGCGCCATCACCGAAAGACCCAGCCCGTCCACCAGCACTCCGACCTCGTTTTTCGATTCCCGGAAGACTCAGCGAGGGCCTTTGCCGTGGAGCAGCAGCATGCAAAATCGTGGTAGCAGCACTAGAACTTATGGTGCGAAAACAGGACGCAGCATCACTGAGAAAGAGACCGCAAACCAGAAGAATCTGAACAATCAACTTCAAGAAGAGCAAGTAGGCGCTTCTTCTTGTAGCTGGTTGATGGGCGGGCGTCATCTTGTTGTCTCGCTTGTGAAGAGGATCGAAAGAGGACTCTTAGCGCCAATAATGACGGTGAAGAGAAAGCTGTGGTCGTAGAGGTGGAACAAAGCCAGTAAAAAAGGGCTACCCGCATACAAAATCATAAGGCGCTTTCATTTTTGATGTGACAGAGAAGAAGCTTAACTAGTGCTAGTAGTAGCCTATCAAGTAGTAAAACATGCACGACATCACCTAAGTAGGAATAACAAGGCAACAACAGTTTCGCGGTAGCCACCGTTTTCCACTCAGGACACGGAGCAGAACGAGAAGCTCCTGCACAGTGACATAATATCAGACCACAGACCCAAATGAACATCAGTCACAACTATTATCGACCATTGACAGGACAGCCATCAAAAGAGTAATCACGCCCCCTCTCGAACATTGGAACATCCATAATGCATGTGAATCCATGTTCGACACACGTGACGCCTCTGCATGCCCAGCCTTGTCGATTCAGCGGCATCGAACGCTTAATACTAAATACGCACAGGCGCGGCGGGAGAATGGAGTCAGTGTGTGCAACATCGACGCGCCACCTCAAAAGCTTCTTTCTCAAGGAGTCATAGCCAAATCCTAGGCCTGTACTGTTGTCGATGACGGGATTGCCTATCTATGCAAAGGAATGTGCCAGAGTCTAGCTCTATTGCGCCTTATTTGAGTCGTTTCCTGTCCAAATGGAAATGGGTGAATCATGAAAGAATGATGATTTTTCTAGCGTCATCATAGAGACACGAAGTGTACCCAACACATATGAGCACTGAAGTCAAATTATGTAGTGGAGCACAATGTTAACACCTCCTCCATCGTTCTCGATATGGCGACCATCTCATGCATTTTGAACAAGAGTTGGACGGTCAAAGACCTAGAACCTAAAGAACTATTCTCTAATCTTCAAAACAATAGAGCAAGCATGTAAATTTGTCCTAAACTCCCACTACGAAGATGCACTCCATGCTATGTTATTCGTTTTAAGGTGTATTCAGACACACAAATGCACGAAATGAAATGTCAGAAAGAGTGAACCACCAGGAGATGAATTTGAAAAAGATGTAATAAAATGAATATTTTTCGAGGATTCAAGAAGAAACTAAATCGCTTCAAATTGAATTTGGAATCGAATTGTTTGAAATCATTTCCAAAAGAAGCTGTAAAGTTCTTCTTGAGGAAGAAAACATCGTTGATTTACAACGCCAATAATGTTTACAATAGGACCTATTTCCCAACATCTCGCGTGACAGTGTAGAACTTTTTCGACGACGACGTAAAACAAAGCTTAAAGTTAAACTGTACAAAAAACACATTTATACATATTGCGGCAAGTCATGTGATCGCATTACAGATGATCCCGTCATCGTGTCGATTGTTCGAATATAGAGTAGAAACACACATGACCAGACTACGAGATTAGACAGCTACTTCCTCGTCTTTCTCCCCACCAGCAGTCTGAGTCTATCAAACCTGAGCACAATGATTGGAGGCGCAGTGTAATCGAACTAGAAAGGTTCAGCGCTGCAGAACAACAAGCGTCCATATGGGGAAGTATCGATATATTGACAAGACGAAAAGGCTAAGTAGAATGATACAAAAATCAGTGCTCGTCTGTACAACAACATGAGTGGAAGAAGCCTCGATGAAAATGCTTTAACATCAAACATTCTTAGCTTACTAGAACGCGCCTGGTGTTGCGCCACAAATAATGTTCAACGTAGAACTAGCGACGCCCTTCGAGCCTTTTTGCCTGAAAAAATCTGCTTTGCTTTGCGCAATTCACTCTTAGATGATGCGGCACTACCGTCCAATCGAATGTAGTAATGCAGTAAAAACTTCCGTCGCTCTATTTTGTCGGCAGCTACGAGATAACTACGAGCTGTCGTGGTCGTGTCGCTAGCTCGAAATACTCAGGTGGGAAGATCTGGAAACTGGTTTTTTCCCCGCTTTCCGGAAAGTGTTCGAGAACATCTGCTGCTTTGCGCAAAATCGAGACAGGAAGAATCCAAACCCCACGGATCTCTCTTTCGCCTAAAAAAGGCACATCGCTAGCCAGACTGAAGGTGTGCTGCTCGCCGTTCGTCGGTGCAAGGTGTGTAACTATGACAAAATCTACCACGTCTATTTCGGATGAGAGCAAGGACCTTTCAGTTTTACTTGTCACTGCGCCACGTGGCCGAACACACAAATTCGAAACAAGGAGGCCGTGGCGAGCGCATGTCGGCACACCAACTCGGTGCATAACGCGCACCCCATGAATCCACATTGTGTTTCGCGCTGGCCCGAATGGATACGTAATAGATATCGTGTGTCCCAAGCGCTTATACAAGAGCTCGTCGAGTCTATGCACCAACGCAAAGTGCACACGATCCCTGCCGAGCACGGAAAGAAGCTCACACCATTTTGAGAACGACAAGCGGCCCAAAGTATCTACGTCGCGTTCTGCATCCGGATCCCCTCTGTTTTTACCGGCGCGGTCCGTGATGTTCAGCATTTCAATCCCGGCCTTTGCCGCTGCTTTTTCCCAATACGACCGCAACACGCGCACAACAGCTTCGCTCGATTCCGCCTTCCTGCAGCATCGAATGAAAAGATGCTTTCGCGCATGCCGCGATCTCGATTCATGATTACTCTTGTAGTCACATTTAGAGCAACAGCAATATGCTCCATTCATGCAACGAGTTGCCTAGGACGATCTTGTTTGCGTTTACTGATGGAAATATATTTAAATTCGTTGTACGTCTGTGAACGTCGCGAGGAATGGAAACAGCAACAAGGATGTACTTCATAACATATACTCGTGTATGCGTGACCGCGTCATCCAAGAAAAAGACTTGGTCTCCTATATCCGGTCGCAACCACACGTACACTGTGCGCTTGTCGACAAAAGACGGCGCGCTAAGATTCGCCTGAAACCGCACGAAATTGTGCTTCGCTCCGGCGAATGCTGAGAAATGCACGCTGAGTGGCAACCATGCATCTTCTTTTGGCTGCTGCCGCGCTTCAGCGTTTGCTTCCTCAAAACGGAAGAGAAGACGCGCAGAAGAACCGCCTGGCGCGGTGGTAAACGACAAGGTTGAGTCTACGCTTTGTAAGGATTTCATGAACTTTTGCATCTCGACCCACCTGGCGCGCTCCTGCTCGAATCCAAAAGGACACGAGAGCCTTATTCTTCGGGGCGGAGGACTGGGGCAACAGGCCAAATCGGTGTCCATCGACTGTTGCACGGGCGTAGAAGACCGGTGCCCACAGGATGCACCGCGACTTTTCTGTTTACTCTCCGCCGGATCATCCGTTCCGATTCGTTTTGATGTGCTAGAAGAATTATAGCCCAGAAAATCGGACAGGCTCACATACTCAGCAGCGTAATCGCGCCCCGGATTTGAGGGAATTAAGCGTGGCACTTTGCCGCTCTTGCACCACAATCGCCACTCCTGTTGGCTGCCAAGTCCCAGCGTACGGCAAAATGCCCGAGCCTGCTCGAAGCTCCAGAACGACTCATGCCGAGCCTTCGGCCGCCCATTTTCGACTCCAAGAAAGTCGGCATATCCTTCGAACTCGTCGCGGTAGAAGCCATGCGCACAAAAGGGCACGTTGGAAGGACGTTCTGCACCTCGTGCCCATCGGAACCAATCGGATGAGCGTTTTAGTCCGAGACGTTGGCAGAATTCGCGTGCTTCCTGAAACCCGAGATAGCCGCAGCAAGCCGCCGCGCGGTGCGGTCGGTAATCGCAGAAGTCTGCATAGCCGCGAAATGCGCCCTTGTACGCTATGTGCGGCGAAAATGGAATATTCGCTGGTCGATCAGACGACAATCGCCATTTATGCCAGTCCGCGAATTTGCTAAAAACACCCAGTGATCGGCAGTACTCGCGAGCCTCATCAAAGGGCAGCACTCGGCGAAGCCGAGAGCGCGATGGTGTCGGTGATGCGACGACGCTGCTCACTGTTTCAGATCGGTTATCGATTGCGACTGGAGCTAGGCTGGAGGACGACGGCGAAGGCGATGATATAGCAGAACTGGTGCTAGGCATCACTGAAACACCATCATGCGACGGACTGCTGCTGCCTAATAATCGCCTTGCGTGGCCTCGGAAAACACCAAGGCGCGCGTGCTCACAGCGTGTCTGCACTTCTCGACAGTGTGTGAGAGACAGCCCACGCATGTTGAATGTCGGCTTTGAAGACACATCAACAACCTACCTTCCACTACACTCTGTAATCACAGCAAGGCTTGCTAAGAAGTCACTCACGAACCAAAAAAAAGTAGCAACTTCAGATTGCGCCTGAAAATTATCATGAACTCAGAGACCCAGCTACTACCGTCATCATTTTTCGTTGTGCAGCTCACACCACGAATTTTTGAAACTGGTTGTAGCTGTTCTTGCTTCAAAGATTAAGATAGTAAGGCGTGATCTTGCAGCTCATGTTTTATCGCTCGTCCTGCTGCGAGCGCATGACCGTTAGTATGTACGGCCATTGTGTCAGTGAGACAGTCAAACGATCAGTGAGGCAGTCACCATGAATGGCGCCGGTATTTGGTAGCCTGAATTTGATCATAAGGGAAAACAAGAAGAGAACCCTTAGGATCAAATTCAGGTTACCAAATACCAGAACCATACACACCATCTTTCAAGCAAGCATCGGAACATCGTAAGTATACCTCGCTCCTCCATGTTGCTCGACATACTTCAGCCCTCTTCATGCCTGAAGTTGCGCCCTTTGCAGCAAGGGCAACTACCTACTCAAAAAATTAAAATTCTTCTTCCGTCCCGAGGAGTCAAATCCTGTACCGTTGTCGATGACGCATGGCATATAAGTAATCTATGCATTCCAGTATGTCAGAGTCTAGTTTTGTTGCACCTTATTAATTTGAGTCGCTTCGTGTACAAATGGAAAGGGGGGAATCATGCGTGAGGATTTTCCTAGAGTGATGGAGACAGCAGATAGACCAAACGCATAGTACTGAAGTCAAGCCATGCAGCAGTGGAGCACAATGCTAACACCTCCTCCATCGTTCTCAGTATGACGCCCACCTCATGCATTTTCAACAAGAATTGGACAGTCAAAGACCTAGAACCTAAAGAACTACTCTCTAATCTTCAAAACAATAGCGCAAGCATGTAAATTTGTCCTAAACTCCCACTACGAAGATGCACTCCATGCTATGTTATTCATTTTAAGGTGTATTCAGACACACAAATGCACGAAGTGAAATGTCAGATGAAAGAGTGAACCACCAGGAAACGAATTCGAAAAAGATCTAATAAACTGAATATTTTTCGAGGTTTCAAGAAGAAACTAAATCGGTTCAAGTTGAATTTGAAATCCTTGAATTGAAATCATGTTCAAAAGAAGCCGTCCTCTGGAAGTGTCCTATTCTTCTTGAGTGAAGTAGTTATGCATAGATGTATTACGATTGGGATAGAAGATTATCCAGAAAGTAGTCGCATGCTACAGAGTGTATCTCTCTCTCAGAGTCCAAATCTGCAAAATTTCAGCTGATCATTGCAACAGGCAGCAGGTCCTCGCGCATCGACGATATAATACGCATACTGCCCATGCCCTCGACCGACGACGATCCATGCCCCACCAAAACGCAAAAGTGATTTTGGCCGCAAGTATTCAGGATGTTCCTCATGTCTCGACCCCTCAAAACTCTATCGCCATCGATTCCAAGAAAATAGCACTGCACAGCTCGACCTTGGGGGTCGCATGAGCGCTCGCTCTACTAACGCAAACGCTGG